AGTTAATGCTTTTTTTTTTAATTACCAGTTTACAGAATTAATCAGGGTGCATTTTAAGTTCTAACTTTTTTTGTTTATTGTATAATGCATCATTTGAAAATAACCAAGGAAATAGCCTTCTGTTTTTAATGATGCATGAGTGGAAGGAATGCTAGTTGGCAGTACATGGTTGTAAGAAATCAATAGAGTAATTGTATTTAAAAAAAAAAAGAATACTTGATTGTGCTTATACAAAACCTATACTTGGACCAGGAAGCAAACCTCAGAACAGAGCAAGGAAACACTGCATGGTTCAAATTTAGGAAAGGTGTGAATCAGGAATAGGTCCTGTCTCCATTCCATTTAAATCTATATGCAGAACAGGCCATTCAGGAGACTGGACTTTATGAGAAGAAATGTGCATAAGGATTGGAAGAAGACTTACCAACAACCTGAATAATGCAGATTACACAACCATACTTGCCTAAACTGAAGAGGACCTGAAACATTTGCTGCAATACATCTAGGACTGCAGTCTTCAATATGTATTGAATATCAACATCAAGAAGACAAAAGTTCTCACCACCAGGCCAATTGGTAGTAACATGATGGATGGAGAAGAGATTAAAGTTGTTAACGATTTTGTCTTGCTTGGTTACACAATCAACATTCTTGGCACCAGCAGTTAGGAAATCAAAATACAAATTGCATTGGGAAAATCTGCTGTCAGGGACCTCTTCAGAGTGCTAAAGAACAACAACATTGGTCTGGAGACTAAAGTGTACCTGATTCAGACCATGGTCTTCACTAGTTTCTTGCAATGCATCAGAGAGCTAGACAATAACTAAGGATGACAGAAGAATCACTGTCGTTGAGTTGTGCTGGAGAAGAGTTCTGAATACTACATAGAATGCCAAGAGAACAAACAAGTTTGCCCTAGAGAGGGTGAAACCAAGTTGCTCCTTGAAAGCAAAGATTGAAACTCCGGCTGACATACCTAGGGCATGTTGCCAGAAAAGGACCTCATGTTTGGAAAGATTGAGGGACAGCACAAGAAAAGAAGACCCTGGAGGGGATGGATTGACTTAGTAACTTAGGTAATTGGAGCTAGATGTGTCAGAAACAATGAGAACAGTGCAAGATAGGACAGAGTTCAGAGCTATTGTGCATAGGGTTGCTATGAGTTGCAGATGACTCACAGCACATAACAACACAACAACATTGCAGTGATAAGTGTGTTGTATCCCTAAAATAAGACTGTAAAAACAAGCAAGCATACAGAAATCATGGCACAACCACTATGGAAGGCAGTCTGATGCTTTCTTAAAAAGTTGGAAATAGCTCTGTCTTCTCTGTACTAGGAGCAACTTTCCTGCCACAGCCCCTCATCCCCTGAAAATGTATACCTGCATCAAGTTTGTCTCCACCCCTTCCCTGGCCAGGAGCACCTCTCAGCTGCTGAGTTGTCCATTGTCTGCAGTGGTCCTGAAACAACCAGAGACACTGAGAGATGAGAATTTCAGCTGCTTGACAGCCCCCTGTTCGTTGATTTCATTTAACCCTAGTCGCAGCTTCCAAACCAGTACTATCTCAAGGGATATTGATACATCAGCTACGTTCACTGGGGCTGGGGCTGCCACAGTTAGAGTGGCTGGCTCTGGAGCTGGGATTGGGACTGTGTTTGGGAGCCTCATCATTGGTTATGCCAGGAGTCCTTCTCTGAAGCAGCAGTTCTTCTCCTATACCATTCTGGGCATCGCCCTCTTAGAGGCCATGGGTCTCTTTTGCCTGATGGTGGCCTTTCTGATCCTCTTTGCCATGTGAAGGAGCCATCTCCACCTCCCATAGTTTGTTGGTTTTCTCCCGCCTGTCTCGTCTACCCTATTGTTCCTTTCCCTGTAACTTCCCAGGCAGCCTGAGGAAAGTGATTGGCTCAGGGTTTGACTGAGGAAAGATAAATAAATACTGTCAATAAGATTTTTTTTTAAAATTGGAAATAGAAATACCATTTGACCCAGTAATTCCACTACTAAGAATATACGCTAAAGAAACCAGAGCTACAGCTCAGATGGATATATGCACATCCATATTTATTGATGCAGTATTCACAATAGTATTCACAAAAGAGATGGAAGCAACCTGAGTACCCATCAATAAACAAATGGATAGAAAAACTATGGTGCATCCACACAATGGAATACTATACACCATTGAAAAATAATGATATAGTAAAACATTACACAACATAGGAGAGCCTTGAGAACATTATGCTAAGTATCTCAGTCACAAAAGGACAACTACTGCATAACACTGCTGTTATGAAGTAGTACAGATCGAGTGGGAGGGTTGGGAAGGAAGGGAAAGAGTAGATACAAAATGAACACTGCATTGAACAGATGAGGGGAAGAACTGTCCAAAAGGAATATATAATTATGAAGTGTCTGTTTGAGGATAATCTAGAATAATGGGTGCATTGTGTGATGGGCTGGGGACGGGGGAAAGAGAGGAGAAAAAGTGCAACAATGAATAAATAAAAGGGGGTGGAAACAAAGAATAAGCTTTCAGTCACCTGTTGGCTGGGGGTGAAGCAGGAAATCTGGAATCTACTTCTTGTAGGAACTTCAAAGTAGCCTTTGCATTAAGCCTTGCCTGCATCACCACCTTCCTTCAGAGATACCTCTCATTCTCTCTCTCACTCTCATTGCATTGAGTTGGAAGTCCTCCATAGCTGACACTATGGTTTCTGAGGCTGTAAATCACAGGGAAAGAGATTCCTTAACTTTCTCTCTCTTTTTCCTCTCTTTTGGAGCTGCTGGTGGATTCGAACCTCCATAGAGGTGTCTTAGGGTTAGCAGAGCTGCTCCCTGCAGAACCCCACCATCAGTGGTACTTGATAGCTTCCATTTCTGCTTCTCTCCAGGGGTTTCATTTTTGTTGTGATCTCCCCGTGCAGGCCTTGAACAAGGGCAATGTGTTCTGCTGATAACTGAATGGTGGTTGTGTACTGGTGAGTCGGATCCGACCCATAGCTGACCCTCCCTCAGATTTTCAGAGGCAGTTAATCACATAGGAGATTACCCATTCTTCTCCTGCATCTAATTGAAGAATAGAAGGTCTGAATCCACCCAAAAATATTTTGGAAGAATGACCAAGCAATTTTTTTTCTGAAAAATTATCCACTGAAAATCCTATAGCATAACAGTTCCACTCTAAAACACATGTTGTTGTTGTTGTTGTTAGGTGTTGTTGAGTCAGCTACAACTCCTTTGTTGTTATGTGACATTGAGACAACTACGACTCTTCCTGACCCTCTGAACAGCAGATCTGAACCTGGCCCTATTCTGGGCCGTCTTCATCATCCCTGATATAATTCAAACCCATTGTTACAGTCACTGAGTTGATCCATCTTTTTGAGGCTCTTCCTTTCTTGCACTGACCTTCTGCTTTCTTAAGCATGATGTCCATTTCCAAGGACTAGTCCTTCCTAACAACATGCCCAAAGTATATAAGATGAAGCTTTACTATCTTTGCCTCTAAGGAGCACCTTGGCTGCATTTTTTCCAAGTCATATTTGTTTGTTTTCTTGGTGTTCCATGGTATATTCAGTACTATTCTCCAACACCACAACTCAAAGGCATGCATGGCTCACCATTAATTGGAATTGGTAGCTCAGTGAAAAAAAGAGAACACAATCCAGGTTTTGCACTACCTGGAAAGTAAGTCCCATCTGTCCCTTTATCTTCCCACCCCCTTTGAGTTCTATGCAGATGTTGGGTCCCACCATACACATAAGTCCAAACAACACTTGGGAGTCAATGGTCTTCAAATATTCTCACATTTCTATACAGTCCAGTCTTTCCAAGAAGAAAGCACCAGAAAATTTAGTTTACAAGTGACTGAAGGGCAAATGTGCCTGGAAGTTAGAGACAGAGTATTGCTCTGGAGAGATTTAGAGGCCATCTCCCTAAGAGGTGTTCTCTCACATTCTAGCATAATAAAACCTAGAAACTAGTTTTCCCATGCCTCTGCAGACATTGGCTTACAAAAGGCTCTCTTTCACTGAATGTGGAAATGGACTGAAGGACCAGAAGCTCTGTAACTCCAACTCTTACAATTTCAGGCTTTCCTCCTTCAGTGTAACCCCGACCATAAGTGCAAGTAAACAGCTAGCTCTCATCTTATTGGCTCTAGGGTGTGAGGACTGGTGTTACAGCACCTGTGAGTAATGAAGCCAGAGCTCGTGTATCTCCTATCAGAATATGAGTATGGGCGTGTGTATTTGTAAAGTAGTTCTGGTGACACTGTGGTTAAGACTACTGGCTGCTAATGGAAAGGCCAGTGGTATTTTTTAACAAGAAAAATATGTGACAGTCTGCTTTCATAGAGTCACAGCCTTGAAAACCCTAAGGGACAATTTCATCTGTCCCTACAAGGTCTCTCTGAGTCAGCATCGAGTTGGTGGCAGTGGGGTGTGTGTGTGTGTGTGTGTGAGAGAGAGAGAGAGACAGAGAGAGAGAAACAGAGAAGCAGAAAACCCATTCCCTGGCCTGACACAATGACTTTAACAATGGGCTTGAGCATATCAGAGACTGTGAAGATGGCATAGGATAGGGCACGGTTCTGACCTGCTGTTCACAGAATCACTAAGAGTGGTAGTCAAGTGGCCTGAAATCTTGTGTATTCACTGTATGTTGTGTACCATTCAGTTAGAACCAACTCATAGCCAATCCTCCAGTGGGTTTTTAGAGGCAGTTAATTGCACATGGGGAGATTGCCCATTCTTCTTTGGTGGAGCAGCTGATGGATTCGAACCACATGCCTTTGGGATTGCAGTGCAGCTTCTTACCTCTAGGTCATCAGAGCTTCCCTCGTTATATGCCCATGGTCAAATATACAGGAGAAAATGGTCTTCGTTTCTATTTTTCCTCAAACCTGGCCTTCATTTCACCCCTTCATAAATTTTGACTTCAATCTCATTATGTTCACTTGCTACTAAGAATATTATTTTTCCCTTACTACAGAGTTTTCTACCTCTGATGTGAAGCATGTTAACCGAAGAATTGAGGTAAGATTATTTTAGTATTTCTGACAGAAAATTAAAATAAAAGAATTTGGGGGGGGGGCTACTGATAAACTCCATCAAACAACTCAGAACCAAAATCTTTAGAAATTCCATTCCAGAAAAAAAAAAAGAATAATTCACCTATCGTTTACAGAATAGCAAATAATTTGTAGGAAAATTGCCTTCTTGTGTTCATTTCTTTGAACAAGGGTTGTATTACTCATTATCACTGCGTAATTCAGGAACAGCTCTCTTAGAATATTTTACTTTTATTTTAAAATCTAGACATTCTGTAAGTTCTTTTACTCTGCGCTATGAGTTACTGTTCAACCCTACAGAGTCAGAATTCAACAATGTTTTGTTTGGTTTGTTTTTATCACAAGTGAAGAGCTCTGATGACAGAATCAATCCGTAGGGCATTATGCTGCTAACCCAAAGGCCACACCTTTGAGGCTGTTCAAATGCATCAGTGAGTCAGAGGGTGAAATATGAACAATCTCCTGCAGGCAGTTGACCAGCTTGGAGACGGACGGAGGATTAACTATGGGTTGGTTCTGATTCAAGGACAATGAGTTGAGGAGTCCCTGGGAGTTGAAATAATTGATTTAAGGTGCTCACATGCTACCTAGACAGGAGTGGTTTGAGCCCACTCAAAAGTACCTTGAAAGAAATGCCTGGAGATCTACTTCTGAAAAACTAGTCATTAAACGGCCTGTGAAGCACGGTTCTGCTCTAATGCATCAAATTGCCTTGAATTGGAAGTGACTCAGAGGCAACTTTGTTCTCTTTTAGCAAGAAGACGTTTAAAAAAAATTAAAGTAAAATATTTGGTTAAACCTTTGCTTTCTTTTATTCTCTCCACTATGTTTACCTTCTGTGTCCTTTAAGAAAATATTTATGCCTAGCTACTACCAGGCTTTGTAGGTGGCTGAGTCGGTTAGGGCTTACAGAGTAGATCCATCTCAGAGAACATTCTTGATTATAATCTTAATGGAAGGAGCTCTGGTGGCAGAATGGACCGGGAGTTCAACTGCTAAGCCTAAGGCAGTCAGCTCAGATCCACCAGAAGCTCTGCAGGAGAAAGATGGGCAGTTTCTCCCCATGTGGTTTACTGCCTCTGAAAACTCACGAAAGGCTCACCTATGAGTTGGTGGCAATGGATTTTAGATTGTTTTTTAAATTTGATATATTGATGTCAATATAATGAAGTTAAATATATAACTCGCAATTACCCACAAGTCCTATTTATAAAAATGTCAATATAATTAGTACTGAATGTGCGTATTTAGGGAAAGGCCGGCGAAAACAAAACTCAAGAAATATTTATAAAATGAGTTTATAATTCATTAATATCAATAAAACTCAATGTTACGCATTGGGTTACAGTGACCTCTAGAGGTTGATGATTAAAATCTAACTTAGCTTGGAAAAAGCAGGGCAGAGAAAAAAGAGCTGTCCAGGTAAAAAAGTAGGGAATGTGGTACTTTTATATCCCACTTTAGCAGTAGGATTCATAACAATTGTGTTCTGGATGCAAATTTTGAGTTAATCAGGTGACCTCCTGAGAGCTGCGCTGCCAACGCAAAGGCCCTCGGTTGGAATCTAGCCAGAAGCTCCATGGGAGAAAGATGGGCAATCTCCCCTTGTATAGTTTAACACTGAAAACCTGCTGGAGGGCCAGCTGTGAACTTGATCCAACTTAACGGCTCCTAACAACAACAACAACTAATGAACATTGTTAAAGTAGATGTGACCAGTAATTTTAAACTGTCCTAAGTGGGAATTTTAAAATCTTAGATCAAGTCTGTGAAAAATAAAAAGGAGCTAAGACAAATGTCTATTACCTTCAAATGTTTAACATTACTTATCCCCTCTTAGATTCCCCCCAACTCCAATGTCAGTCCCGCTTTGCAACAGTGGCACTATGCAGTATTTGTCCTTTTGTGACTGAGATATTTCACTCCGCATAATGTCCTCCATGATCACCCATTTTGTATAATATTTCATGTGTTCCTTGTTTTTCAATTAAGCCTAGTATTCCATTGTGTGACTATACCACAACTTCTCTAGTCATTCGTTTGTTGACGGACACTTGGGTTGTTTCAAACTCTGCTATTTTGAACAAAGCTGCAATAAACATGCATGAGCATGTACCTGCTCCAGTGGCAGTTCTGGTTTCTTTAGGGTATATTCCCAATAGTGGAATTGCTGGGCCAAATGGTATTTTTATTTCCAACTTTTTGAGAAAGTGCCACACAGCCTTCCATAGTGGTTGCACCATTTTTACACTCCCACCAACAGTAAATACGGGTTCCAGTCAGATGAGGGAGAGATCTGTTAGAAGGAATATGTGATTGGTTATTACTGTCATGACAAGAGTCCAGAATGAAAGCTGCATAGTGGAGTTGACTGGGGAATTGTATAACAATGAAATTTTTTTAATTTTTTTTTTACTTTTCAAAGAGAAAAGTGAACTGGGAGGGAGCGGTCAGCAGGGAGGAAAGTGTGCAATTATGAATGAATGGAAATTCAAAGTGTCTGTAAACTTTCATTAAAATATTTTTTTTAAAAATGTAACATGTGATAAGGGATTTGTTTTAAAATACAGAATTATGAATATAATGAAAAACACTGTTTTATGATGGTTTAACAAGTCACTGAAAATGTAATTTTAATTAAAAATTATGATAACCATGGTAGCTTTGTCCTTTAAAGGTCTTTCCAAAGAGTATCTTAGAATCTCTTTGAATGACCTTAAACCATTTTATACGCTATTTATGTGTCTGCACTCATGAGTTGGTTTTTTTTCTTCTCTTTCCTTTTAGTTACCTCTGCTACCATTGTCACTCCTGCCCAGAAGATCTGGTCTCCTTACACCCCCTCTAAACCACAAGGCTCAGAAAGAGAGAGAAAGACGTGTTCCAAGCCCCCTGTCCTTCAGACCTAAGATCACAGAGATCATTAGTCAGTCTGATGAGTTTAGACCATCAAACAAGCAACAGGAAGTCCCGCATAAAGTGTTTACAGAACACTCCCTCAGATCTTCTGATAGTTTCATTTGGTCCAGGAATATGTGCTCTTTTTGGGAGGCTAACTTACGCAGAGAATACTCGGAAGTGGGGAAGGAATGGAAATCTATGGAAATAGAAGGATGTCATGAAATTGAAAGCGATAACTTTGAAAAGGGACAATCTCTGATGTTGTTTGAGAATTATAAGGAAGAGTTTATTTCCACTGAGAGGGAAGAGGATAGAAGCTGCCCTGGGAATGAAATGAGAAATGTGAGAGAAGAGAGCTCTCAAAGTCTTTCATCAACAAATAAAGAGAACTCGGTACTCCAAAACCATGAACAAGGATTAGAGTTTGCCTGTGTGATCCGAAGCAAGCTCCAAGAAGCTCAGCATTCGAAGGCAATGCAAGGCCAGGATGAAGAGATTAGAAGTCACAAAACTGACTCAGAAAGTGCTTCAGTGGGAAAAGGAGATGCAATGGAGCAAAATGGTGATCAATTAGAAGAGTGTCCTGCGCTTCAAAGCTTGTCCAATAGAGCCCCTGATGGCATCATTGGAAAACTCCCAGAGGACCATAGTGGCATGGAGACAAACATGAAAACATCAGTAGAAGCAACCAAAGCAGAAATGAATGAAATGGTGCCTCTTACCTGCTTCACTTTGCCCAGTGAGGAAGTCCCCAAAGAACCAGCAATGGTCAAACCAAGCCTCCAAAAGAGAAAAGGTAATCTTCATACCATCACCCACAGCCTCAACATACGTGTGCCACGGGACAATGGCAAACAGAAGGTGGAAACCTGTAGACATAAGTTGGATTCCAAACCCAAGATAATTAACAGGCCAGCTCAGAATTGTGTGACTTCCACTGAAGGGTCCATGAAGCCTACCATGCACAAAACCAGCTTAAAAACACAAGTATTCCCTGCCTTGGGGCATGTTGACCCCAAGTCTCAGCACTCACCCAAGTTTCAAAGGAAAATGCCACAGACAGAAAAGAAGCAATCGACTTACCGGGCTCTGAAGCCGAAAAGGCCATCATTCCCTTGTATCTGTAAAAATCCAGGGACAAAAAAGTCTTCTGTTCCTTTTACTGGGCAACAGATAGAACCAAACGTAAACCAGCTAGATCTCAAGTACAGTGACATGTTCAGAGAAATCAATTCGACTAGCAATGGACCTGGGATCTATGAGATGTTTGGGACCCCTGTTTATTGTCATGTAAGAGAGGCTGGGCGACATGAAAACAAACATTACCGTGAGATATGCTCAGCTCCATCGGGCAGATGTATCACCAACAAATGTCGACCGTCAGTGGGTGAGAGGAGCAATAATAGCAGGACCAGACATTCCCAGAAAAGACCACATGCAAAACCTCCAAAGACTTCTCTCAGCATGAAACAAAAACACAGAAGTTTGGTTTCTAAAGAAAAGAGTTGCAAGCCAGTAATAGCTGGGAATCTAGACGACCTTGACAATATTGATGGCGTTGTAGAATCAGAATGGGAAGTAAGATCTTCAGGAAACGGCTTTCTCTCTTTCAAAGATGATGCTCAGCCCATGAAATTGGTTCCATGTCCTGAGGAGTCCATGGAACAGAAGGAATCCCTTCCTGTTTCAGATTTGCCTGTGGTTGAAGAGGTCTCTGTGGAAGAGTCGGCCAACGAAGGAGATGTTTGTAACAATCAGCTCCTTGTCAGGAGCCTTAGAGATTTGCAGGAACTTGAAGAGCTACATCAGCAGATCCCATCCATCCCATCGGAAAACAGCTGGGCACTGCCCAGTAAGAAGAATGCCAACGAACACGTAATGCAAGAAAAGGAGAACCAAGACTCCCTCGTTAGTTTAAATGCTGACTCAATTGTAACTGATGATCTCGAATTTGACAGTGTTTCTGATACGTCTAAGATATTCATGAACTTCTCTTTCCATGAGAAAAAAGGATGCACAACTTCCCAAAGATATCAAGATTGGGCCCATTCTTTGCATTCTTTGGACCATGATAGTTTATCAGGTAAATCGACGACGTCTCAAATGTTTGAGAAGTCTTTAGATGATGAAAACTCAATTTCCCAAGAAATTCTAAGCTCTGTAAAGAATGAAGAACTGACAGATGAACTGCTGGGCTGTCTAGCTGCAGAACTCTTAGCTCTTGATGAAAAAGATAACAACTCTTGCCAAACAATGGCAAATGAAGCAGATTTTGAAAGTCTAAATTTTGGCTTCAGTAGGAGAGGAAATACCACCCATGAATTGGGCAGAGAAGCAGCAAGCGTCAAAATCCAGGTTGGTAAAATCAGGTTTTGGTGTTTTCGTTCTGTCACCTTACTTTTGGATATTACCTAGCTTTAACACAACAACAGCAACACTAAAGTGTAATGCCTGCATTCGTTGATACAGCAGGATGACTTCTATAAATAAGTCAGTGTTTTATTGAACCTTTTCACTCAAATATTAGAAGTGAGATAATTACAGGTAAAACTTTTCCCCAGGTGACCTGTAAGAAGGTAAATATGAACATGGCCTTTGGAGAGGCTTACAGGCTCATTGTAAATCATATGAGTATGTGAAAGGAACATTTCTTAAAGATTCCTTGAAGTTGAGAATTTGTTCTGAAATGACCAACTGTAGGCAGACTTTATTTTTTGTGCTTCTCTTTATTGCACTTCACAGATATTCTGGATTTTGGTCTTTTGTGGTATTTTCTTAATGGAGTTTTGTTTGCTTTTGCAAATGGGAAGTTTATGGCAACTGCACATTGAGCAAATTGATCAGTTACCTTTTTCAAACAGCATGTGCTCACTTCCTGTCTCTGCCCCATTTCGGTAATTACACCAATACCTCACATCTTTTCATAATCTTATTACATAATGAGTAGACCATATAGAAGCTGTGCCACAGTATCGAAGGCATGGAGTTCAAATCTGTCAGCTGTTCCATGGGAGAATGATGGGCAATCTACTCCAGTGCAATTAACTGCCTCTGAGAACCACCAGAGGGTCAGCTGTGAGTCAGTTCTGACTCAACGGTAAACAACAACAGTAGAATACAGTATAATGCAAAGATAACTTGTATATTTACACTGAGACACCAAAAATGCCATGTTCTTTAATGTGACATTTGCTTTCTTGCACTGGTCTAGTGCTAATCCCAGAACATTTGATCATGCTAATGCAAAACGTATACTTCGATCAAGAGGCAGTCGTCAGAATAGAGCAAGGAAACACTGAACGGTCCAAAATTGGGAAAGGTATACGTCAGGGATGTGTCCTATCTCCATACATTTTCAACTTGTATGCAGAACAGATTACCCCAGAGGCTGGGCTCTATGAGGAGAAGTGTGGCATCAGGATTGGTGGAAGATCTATTAACAATCTGCGTTATGCAGATGACACAACCGTGCTTGCTGAAACTGGGGAGGACTTAACGCGCTTGCTGCAGAGGGTGGGGAACTGCAGCCTTCAATATGGATTGAGGCTCAATATCAAGAAGACAAATATTCTCACCACTGGGCCAATTGACAGCATCAGGATGGATGGTGAAGAGATTGTTCACAGCTTCAGTTTACTTGGCTCCACAGTCAACACTCTTGGCACCAGCAGCCAGGAAATTAAAAGACATATTGCGATGGGAAAGTCTGCTGTTAGGGACTTCTGCAGGACACTGAAGAGCAATGGTGTCACTCTGGAGAGTAAGGTGCATCTAATACAGGCCATGGTCTTTGCAATCACTTGTTATGCGTCAGAGAGTTGGACAATGACTAGAGAAGATAGAAGGAGAATTGATGCCTTTGAGCTGTGGTGCTGGAGAACAGTACTGAGTGTACCATGGACTGCTAAGAAAACAAACAGATTTATCCTGGAAAGGGTTAAACCAGACTGCTCCTTGGAGGCAAGGATGCAGGGACTTTGTCTGACATACTTTGGACTTGTAAGGAGAGACCAGTCCTTGGAGAGAGACATCATGCTTGGGAGGTTGGAGGGACAGAAGAGGAGGGGAAGGCCCTCTCTTAGGTGGATTGATTCAGTGATTGGGGTAATCGGAATGGGTGTGTCAGAGACAGTGTGATTGGCACAGGACCAAGCAGGGTTTAGGGCTGTTGTACATAGGGTCGTTGAGTCACAAGAGACTCGACAGCATAGGACAAAAACAACTTTAAAACAAACAAAATGATTATTGATTCCTGCTGAGTTTCTGGCACTGGGCTAGGAACTAGAGGCAGAGTGTGTACAAAACTCAGCTCTTGGACTCAAGAAAACATGGACAAAATTGTCTTCACTTGTTTGGCATAGAACAGGAAAGTAGAAAAAAGAATAGGAACAGGTATTTCCTGGATTTCACACCCCCCTCCTTTTTATTTACTTTGTTGTTGTTGGAGATATACACAGCAAAACTTACACCCATTTCAATAGTTTTTAATGTTTCGTGTAGTGTCATTGACTACGTTCTTTCAGTTGTGCATCTCATCTCATCTCATCTCATCTCATCTCATCTCATCTCATCTCATCTGTTCTCACCTCCTCTCATCTGGATTCTCCTCCCTCATCACCACAACAATAAAAAAAAGTCTGTCTTAGAGAATGCACAGCCAGGATGCTGCTTTAGAGGCGAAGATGGTAAAAATTCATCTCACATACTTTGGGTGTGTTGTCAGGAGAAGTTCTTGTAAAGAAATACCATGCTGGAGAATGTGGAGGATCAGAGAACCAGAGGAAGAATCTTCGAGATGTGGATTGACACAGTGACTGTAACAATGGGCTAGAGCATATTAGAGATGGTGAGGCTCCAGCCAGATAGGCCAGGTTAAAATCTGTTATTCATAGGGTCCCTATGACTCATAGTGGATTGGAGGCCACCTAACAACATCAATAACAACATTAACATTACTATAAACACAATGATGCTCTGGATTCTTATATACTTTTGAGTTGCTGTTGTCAATATGTTCTCATCTGGATAGTTCTTTAAAAAGCAGAATTCCCAAGACAGACCATTTTTACTATTTTTAGGTAAAGTATTGTGAGGGGTTTATGGGCTTTAAAAAAATTGTTATACTGGTTTACATACAGATTTTATAAAGTTCATATACATTGTTTTTCACACTGGACCTTTCCCCTTTCCTTTACCAATGTCAGGTTTTAAGATAACTTCAGGTGCCATTTATGGTTTAAAGTTTAAAGATTATTTCAGATCAATAGTTTCAGGGATTCTTCCATCCTCTATTGCTTCAGAAAGCTTAGAGTCTATGAAATTTGAAATTCTGTCCTCCATCATCCCATCCCCATCATTTTGATCTACATTGTTCTATGGAATTTTTAATTGAAATATTTAGAACAATGAAATATGCAAGGAACTAGAGCCAGAAAATCAAAAGGGCCGAACTCACTCAGCATTTCTTAAACTCAAGGAACTGAAGAACAAATTCAAACCTCGAGTTGCTATAATTAAGGATGCTTTAGGCAGAATATTAAATGATCCAGGAAATATTAAAAGAAGATAGGAAGAGGATACAGAGTCACTGTATTGAAAGGAATTGGCAGACACAGAAGAATTTCATGAAACAAGATATGAGGAAGAGCCTATGGTGATGAAGGAAGAAGTTCAAGCTGCTTAGAGGAAAATTTGTTTAGCAAAAAATAAGGCCCCAGGAATAGATGGTATACCAATTGACGTATTTCAGCTAACAGATGCTGCCCTGGATGTGCTCACCAAGTTGTGCCAAGAAATCCGGAAAATAATCACTTGGCCAACTGACTGGATGGGATCTATATTTATTTGTTCCCATTCCAAAGAAGGGTGACCCAACAGAGTGTGGAAACTATAGAACAATATTATTAATTTCACATGCAAGCAAGATTCTGCTGACGATTATAAAAAAATGACTGGAACAGCACATCAGCAGAAAACTGCCAGAAATCCAGGTTGGGTTTGATCATGGTACTAGGGATATTGTAGGTAATGTTAGATGGATCTTAGCTGAAAGCAGGGAATAGCAGAGGTATGTCTATCTGTGTTCCATTGATTATGCAAAGGCGTTTGACTGTGTGGATCATAACAAACTGTGGCTAACTCTGAGAAGAATGGGAATCCCAGAACACTTGATCATGCTAATGAGAAACCTATACTTGAACTAAGAGGCAGTCATCAGAACAGAGCAAGGAAACACTGCATGGTTCAAAATTGGGAAGGGTGTACACCAGGGATGTGTCCTATCTCCATATTTTTTCAACCTATATGCAGAACAGATTACCTAGGAGACTGGGCTCTATGAGGAGAGTGTGGCATCAGGATTGGTGGAAGATCCATCGACAGTCTGTGTTATGCAGATGACACAACCCTAAAGCACTTGCTGCAGAGGGTGCAGGATTGCAGCCTTCAATATGGATTGAGGCCCAATATCAAGACAAAGAGTTTCACCACTGGGCCAACTGGCAACATCAGGATGGATAGTGAAGAGATTGAGATTGTTCACAGCTGTAGTTTGCTTGGTTCCACAGTCAACACTCTTGGCACCAGCAGCCAGGAAATTAAAAGACACATTGTGATGGGAAAGTCTGCTGTTAGGGACCTTTCCAGGGCACTGAAGAGCAATGGTTTCACTCTGGACACTAAGGTGCTCCTGATACAGACCATTGTCTTTGCAATCACTTGCTATGCATTGGAGAGCTGGACAGTGACAAGGGAAGATAGAAGAATTGATGCCTTTGAGCTGTGGTGCTGGAGAAGACTATTGAGTGTACCATGGTCTGCTAAGAAAACAAACAGGTTCAGCCTGGAGAGGGTTAAACCAGGCTGCTCCTTGGAGGTAAGGATTCTGAGGCTTCATCTGACATACTTTGGACATGTTGTAAGGAGGGACTGGTCCTTGGAGAGGGACATCATGCTTGGGAGGGTGGAGGGACAGCACAGGAGAGGAAGATCCTCTATGAAGTGTATTGATTCAGTGACTGGCGTAGTCAGGATGGGTATGTCAGAGACAGTGAAGTTGGCACAGGATAGAGCAGGGTTTAGGGCTGTTGTACATAGGGTCACTAAGAGTCGCAAGCCACTCGTTGGCACATAACAACAACATACTTAATATTTGTGTCTATGTGCACAGTTTATGTGTATACATGTATGTATGTGTGAATATGTGTATGTTTCTGTTTATGATTGTCTGCATGTAGGGGCAAGATGACTGAACTAATAGGAATTCTAAAGAGACAAAGAGATGGGTTGCTGAGAAGTACAGGCATGTTAGCACACATCAATGTGTGTGTCTATTCTGATGGTCAAGGCTTTGAGAGAACTCATTCTCAAAAGGCAGTATTAGTAGTCTACAGGTCCTTGTAGGTCCAAGATGAGCAGGCCCAAGAGCTTCTCTTTATAAAATATGCAGATAAATGTAGCTTAGAAACAAGACTGAAGTACAAAATGAAGATGTCCTGCTTGGTCATTTCTTGGGAACTCTATGAACTCAGTAATTGGTGTGAACAGTAAGAATAATGCTGGATGGGTGCTTTTAGAAAGGAAAAATATACAATGCACCTCTAATCTTTCTCTCCAGTTCCATGTCTCAGATTTTAATGGGGACTTTTCTATTTATTTTTTTATTCCAGGGGTACAGTAATGGATTGAAGATTTATGAGAGAGAGGAGAAATTTCTCCTATCAAATGAAAAGAAGACCTTTTCTGGAAACAGTTTAAAGTGTGAAGAGCCTATCCTGTGGACCAAGGGTGATATCCTGGGGAAGGGAGCCTATGGCACGGTGAGTCACACTGAAGACCTGATAAAACTAGAAATCCCCACTCTTCCTAGCTCCTTCCCTTTTTCTAAATCCAAAGACACATTCTTACTTTAAAGTTTTACAGTTGATGATGTTGTTGTTGATTGCCTTCCAGTCGAGCATGACTCATAGCGACCCTATGAACAAAAGACCTGAAGCCCCTCTACAACTATCGACATTTAACAAAGTTCATAGAAGCATGGTGTTTAGGAAGTGGATGCCACTCCTGTTGATAGTAGTAGAAAATGCAACTCAAACTGGTTTGAAGCAAGATATTTGTTGCTTTATTGAACTGAAGGTTCTGGGCTAATCTGTCTTCAGGGGCCAAACCCTATCCTCATGATCTGGTCTTTGTTTATCTCAGTCTGATTCTCATTCACAAGCTTCTTTTCAGGAGCCATGCTGCTAAAGGGACATAGTTTCCAGCTGTTTCACAGGAAAAAGATGGGCATTCTCCTCTTGTGCAATTTACTGCCTCTGAAAACTCGCTGGAGGGTCAGCTATGAGTCTGTACTGACTCAACAGTACATAATAAAAACATGTGGTGGCACAATGACTAAAGCATCAGCAGCCTTTCATTCTCCTGGGTCCAATTTCCTCAATAGTTGGAGGAATCATTGCAGAATGATTAAATCAGATGTTCCTTATGTTTTGTGGATTGTAGAAGAAACCATCTAAGGTCCCAGTTCTTTAGATGGTACTTATAAATATGGGTAAAGCCAGATAGGATTTGTCTCTACTCTAGCTATGGCATCTTAAGAATCAGTGAGAGGGTGGGAAGATGGAGTCCCTGAAATCAGAGCCTCAGAGCTTTCCATAGCTCCTCGGCATCTAAAGCCAAATACCCAGACTCCAGAGATCATAGCCAAATCTACAGTTGAGATAAGTGGAGAATTTTGTGGAGGTTTTGTTGTTGGTTGCTTTTTTGTTTGTTTGTTTGTTGGGTTTTTTTTGCTTTCTAAGAATGTATCTGACATAGAAAATTTCCTGGAAGCGTCCTTGAAATCTAAAATTTTTCTTGTTCTTCTGTCTTAAAAGTCAGCTGGAAATTGGATGAGATTTATTTATCTCCCTAAATCTCACGGAAAAAAAGCCATTTCTTAAACTAACATAAACTGTATGAGTGGTTTCCCCAAGTCACCATCTCATCTAGACATCCTTGGGGAAAATGTTGTTCTCTTAGTTTTATGGATGAGAAAAAGTAAGTGTCAAAAGTCATGTGGGCTTCCCCAAAGTTCCACAGCTGGCCATCAGGGCTGCCGGGATCCTAAACAATCCAGGCCACTTCACAGGACGCCAATATGGTTTCCATTCTTATTGTGGCTCATCCCCACCTCGACTCCTTAAGAGTTATGAAATCTGCTTATTTTAAGTACTGCATTTAGACGATGATGTGTCCACACAGAAAGAGGACAAGGCTTTTGAGAGAAGAAGGTAAAGACAAAGTGTCAAGAGTCATTCCAGAAAAAAATTGTTATTATTCTTAACAGGGTGTTGGTTCCTTCTAGGTGTACTGTGGTCTTACCAGCCAAGGGCAGCTAGTCGCTGTGAAACAGGTGGCTCTGGATACCTCTGATAAATTAGCTACTGAAAAAGAATACAGAAAACTGCAGGAAGAAGTAGATCTCCTCAAGGCACTGAAACACGTCAACATTGTGGCCTATTTAGGGACGTGCTTGGAAGAGAACATTGTAAGCATTTTCATGGAGTTTGTCCCAGGTGGGTCAATCTCTAGTATTATAAATCGTTTTGGGCCATTGCCTGAGATGGTGTTCTGTAAATACACGAAGCAAATTCTGCAGGGTGTTGCTTATCTCCATGAGAACTGTGTGGTGCATCGAGATATCAAAGGAAATAATGTCATGCTCATGCCAACGGGAATAATCAAGCTAATTGACTTTGGCTGTGCCAAGCGTTTGGCATGGGCAGGCTTAAATGGCACCCACAGTGACATGCTTAAGTCCATGCATGGGACTCCGTATTGGATGGCCCCAGAAGTCATCAACGAGTCTGGCTATGGGAGGAAATCGGACATCTGGAGCATCGGCTGCACTGTGTTTGAAATGGCCACAGGGAAGCCGCCCCTGGCCTCCATGCACAGGATGGCTGCCATGTTTTACATTGGAGCGCACCAAGGCCTGATGCCGCCGCTGCCAGACCACTTTTCAGAGCATGCCGTGGACTTCGTGCGGGTGTGCCTGACCAGGTGAGAAACCCAAAGGAGGGCGAGGTGACAGACCCCCAGATCAAGGCAACTGCAGTGTCCTCTGGCTCAGTACAAGCTGTGCTGTCAGGACACCAGCACTGAAAGTCACGATTAGCCATATTGGGTGTTCATAGCATTATCAGGGGTATGGGGGCAGGCAGTGCTTCCAGTTGGAGAAGGACATCATGGCTGGAAGAGTGGAGCGACAGCGCAGGAGAGGAAAACCCCGGATGAGATGAGTTGATAACAGTAGCTGGCGTAATGTGGATAGATGTGGGAGACAGTGAAATTGGCTCAGGATAGAGCAGCGTTCAGAGCTATTGTGTGAATAGCTATGAGTCACAAGTGACTGGATGGCACATAATAATAAGTGTGTGTGTGTGTGTGTGTGTGTAAATCAGGTCACTTCCATTTGCTGCTAGTAACAGTTCCTTCTTGCTCAGAATAGAATCTAAAGAGTCAGACCCTTCCTGATCAGTTCTGCATTTCTTCCCAAGCGGACTTTCTCCCATTCACACCGTTGACTTAGGAGCCCTGCTGGTATTGTGTGGAACATACTAGGCTGCAAATAAACCACCAGTTGCTCCGTGAGAAAGGCAAGCAGCCTTGTCCCCTAAAATAACGTTACAGCCTCGGAGACCCAACATGGTGTCATCATAACCAGACCTGGCCCCACAGCAGTGGGCTTCCTTCCCCCATCAATTACTCTACTTCAGGACCCTGGTTTCCTGCCTCACCCTCCCACATTCCAAACCTACCCTTGTCTCAGGGTCTTCAGGACTCCTCTCACACTGCCTCTTGCCTGGCTTCCTTTTTTCATTTAGGACATTTTATCCAAATGTCTCTTTCTCAGAAGACCTACCTCACTGCCTAAGATAGACATTCTTGCCCCCTTACCTGCTCCACTCTCACTGCACTCTCACTTTCCTCTTACACCCCCTTGACCCTGCTCCACCCTCACTTTCCCCTTCCACCCCCTGACCCTGCTCTGCTCTCACTGAACCCTCACTTTCCCCTTGCCCCCCTGACCCTGCTCTGCTCTCACTGTGCCCATCACAGTGAGCTATCTGATTGAAATGTCTTGAGTGCTGGTCTCTTTCCACCAGAAGGTAAGCTCTATGAGAATAGAGACAGCATATTTTATTCACCACTGAACCGCCAGTACTAGAAGAGCAGTCACGAGACATTCAGTAATGAAGAGCACCAAGGGTCTAAAAAAGAAGTGAGCTATGAAGTGGAATGAATGAGGACATTCCGGATCTTTGAAAAAAAAAAAAAAAATGCTACCCTAAAAGAACGGTCTTCAAAGGACTACCTGGTAGCAGTCATCCTGTCACAACCCTTGAGAAACAGGGATAACAATGAGTCATGTGGCTTTTTCCAATGTGAACCCAAAGATTTTTTTCTCTGAAAGATTCTACTTTTGAACCATAGACAAAACAATTCACCCCTCAAATAATAAATTAGTCTTTGTTGTGAAGATGAAGCAAAATGGCTGGGTAGATTACTTAGCAGAGAACAGAATACATACATGATCGGGTCTCTATAGTTGACAACCATTAGAGAGACTAGTAATGGACCTTTCCCAATTTGTGTCCTGTAGAAGGCAGCATAGAACTTCTTCTGAAGTTCTATGGCCAAGACTCTAAGGACTCTAGACTCTTGTCTAGACTTTTACCAAAAGATAACCAATACAAAGAATGCTACTTAATATGCTATTCTAGCCAACCATTGAGTGGTTCTTTAGTTTGGGCGATTGACCCATTTCCAGAAGCTTTTTTATTTGTCAAAGAAAATAACCTGAGCCATAATTGTGTGGAGAAACACTTCTTTTCTTTTGTGCTCAGCTGAATGACCACAATGGGATTATTCCAGTTAATTACTAAAGTAAATGTAAATGCCTTCTCTAAAATTCTTTCCAATTCTGCAGTTATGCCTCTAAATTAGAAAAGTAAATTTAATGCCAACTGACATTGCAACAAACTGTACACATAAAATTGTGAATTTTAGTGTGCAAACTATAAATTTAACAAAAGCACAGTGGAAAGGTAGGATTTACTTTTTAATTACAACAGCTACCATAATTGAATATCTTTAGTACTGTGTGCCACATATTGTTGGAAAGTTTATTATTATTGTTGTTTCACTTAACAAGTTAGCTCTCATTGAGAGATGAAGAATCTGAGTAACTTGCTTAAGATCACACGGCTGAAAACTGAATTGTGCAAGCTTAACCCAAGTTATTTGAGTGTCAGAAGCTGTCATTCTATTTTTGAACGACATTTTGGCTCAAATAAATCTAAGTTGACACCCATGTATTTGGGCACTGCTCCTAACGTGTTTTTCCGTTCACAGGGACCAACATGAGCGGCCTTCTGCCCTCCAGCTCCTGAAGCATTCCTTCTTGAAGAGAAGTCATTGACCAGACTTCAGGACATTTCTCCCAGTGCTACCAGACGTACTCTCTTATTGTTTAATCGTGAGGAATGATGGTTAAGGGATTCTTGCTTTCCTATTGGAAAGTGAATGTAACCCTATTTAACCAGATCCTCTGAGCACTGGTAACGGGATGCTTTAAGTACATAATGAGTCTCCCCAAGCTTCAGGCAGGCACAGGAGATTTTCTTAAAACAAAAAACCTATTCCAGTGTTTACAATTTTGACTTTCCAGGAAACATTCTCTATTGCTGTCTGATAATTCCCTTTTGGTTTAGGCCTGCCTCTGTAAGTTCATTAGTTTACAATAAAGTTTATAGAAACAACTTGTACTTTCTTGCTTTGTGAGAAAAGACTTCATTCTTGAGAAGGAGACCAGAGAAAGGTAAGAAGGTAGAGGGGGAATAAGAGAACGATGCAAAACAATAAACTAACTTACTAGTAATCTGTAGTGAATAATCTCACAGGGTTTTTACCATATCCACATGAATGTGGATGCAGTACAAGATTTGGTGAAAACTATGAAGCTGGTAGATTCTAAACATGTGTACCTCTGGGATTGCAGCACAGTTTATCGTTAGACCACCAGAGCTCCATAAAATAAGAGTTAAGAATTGTTACAAGCCCTTTTAAACTAGTGAATTAAGAACTTGTGAAAAGTTCCTTTCAGTAACACCCAGTGTTTTAAGGCACAACTAGAATTTTAGTTTATCAGTTGACATTATTTCAAGAGAGTACAGAAAAACAAATTCAATGCTCTGTAGCATGTTTTACTATTAATCAAGTCTACTAATCTCCAGTGGTTGGAATCTGCCAGGAGAAATAAGGGCGGTCTCTCATCAGGTTTGCAGCTCTGGAAACCTTACACAGGGTCCCTGTGAATTAGGGTCCCTAAGAAGTGACTTGATAACAGTGAGGTTTCTCTTTCCTTTTCCATTCAGAGTGTACTGCTTCCCCCCAAATTTATACTTCTTGTCACCTAGTTGATGGCAAGGGAGGAAGAACACATCTTTCACATACAACATGATCTGAAATGTAATTTTATAAAGGTAGGCCTTGTTACTATTTTCCATTTTTATGATCTTCAGTATTCTTACAGATCAAAATGGTTATGTTGTTATATGCTGTCGAGTGGGTTGTGACTCATAGCGATCCTAAGCACAAGAGCTTGGAATCCTGCTCTATCCTGAGCCAATCTCATGACCTGCCCCCATTAACGCAGTCACTGCATCAATCCATTTAATCAATGGTCTTCCTCTCCTGCACTGCCCCTCCATCCTTCCAAGCATGATGTCTTTCTCCAAGGACTTGTCCCTCTGGGCAATATGCCCAAATTATGTGAGACAGAGCTCCAAAATCCTTGGCTCCAAGGAGCAACTTGGTTTTACCTTCACCAGGGCAGACCTGTTTGTTCTCTTTGAAGTCCATTTTGTGTTCAAGACTTCTACAGCACCGCAGCTCAAAGCCATCAACTGTGTCATCCTTAGTCATTGTCCAGCTCTCAGATGCATAGCAAGTAATCGTGAAGACCATGGTCTGGATTAGGCACTCCTTAGTCTCTAAACTAACATCCTTGCTCTTGAGCACTCTGGAAAGGTCTGACAGACAGATTTTCCTCATGCTATTTGTCTTTTGATTTCCTGACTGCTAGTGCCAGGAGTGTTGACTGTGGAACCAAGCAAGCTATTATTTGTTAACAATCTCTTCTCCATCTATCATGATCGGCTCAGTGGTGAGAATCTTTTGTCTTCTTGATGTTGAGCATCAATTCATATTAGAGTGCATTCCTTGACCTTCTGCAGAAAATGCTTCTGGTGCTCCTCAGTCTCAGCAAGCAAAGTTGAGTTACGCATAACACAAGTTGTTGAGGAGTCTTCTTCCAACTCTGATACCACATTCTTCCTCATAACTTGGCTTGCATTTTGGTATTGTAAATATATTGTTCTAGTGGGTTTTTTTTTAAAAAAGTAATTTTCAGCAAGATTTCACTTGCAAGGGCTGTCAGTAATATTGTTTGCTAATTTTCACACTCGGTTTGATCACCTCTTTTGGGAAAGGTAGTAAGTATGGATCTCTTCCAGTCAGTTGGTCTGGCAGCTATCCTCCAGATTTTCTGGCACAGGGCAGCATCTATTTGTTGAAATACGTCAATTGGTATTCCATCAAATCCTGGGACCTTGCCTTTTTTTATGCCAATCCCTTCAGAGCAGCTTGAACTTTGGTCCTTCAGCCCCATTGCCTCTTAGTCATATGTTGGTTCATTAAATTCTTCTGTGTCATCCTATTCTTTCTGGTACAGTAACTCTTTGTACTTCCACCTTCTTTTATGCATCCTGCCAACAGTGTTCTTAAAGATTGCAATTCAAGGCTTGCGTTTTTCAGTTCTTTCCTCTTCAGAAATGCACAGCAAGTTTGGCTCTATCTTCTGACTCCAGTTCTTTGCACATTTCATTGTAATACTTTGTTTTGCTCAGTTGCCCTTTGAAATCTTCTGTTCACCTCAACTTACCGATTTTCCTCCCTTTGCTTTCGTGGTGCTCTCGTGCAATATTCAGTCTCCTCTGACATGCATCTCAATCTTTCTTCTTAGTAATGACCTTTTGCATTCATCGTGGATATTCTTGATATCCTCTCACAGCTTACCTGGTCTTAATTCATTAGTATCCAAGGCCTCAAACCTGTTTTTGAGATGGTTTTAAAATTCAGATTGGGATAGACTCAAGGTCAAATTTCAGTTCTCACTGAATTTTCTTTAGCTTCATTTCGGACTTGCATATGAGTACTGCCTATACTATAAATACAACACAGCGTTAAACATAAATGTTTGCATGGTAAATATAAACATCTTTTGGAGTCAGAGGGTTTGAAAGGCCACATGGTTAAAGGTGGAGGAAGCTGTTAGGGCCAACATTGAGCTCTCACTCAGAAAAAGGCTAACACTACATAGGTCCTTCCCTGCTGCTTCCTACAGAATGTTAAGCCTAAACTTTCATTCTATTTGAAACTTTCCCGAGTTCCTGATCAATTTAGTAGTTAAAACATTTCATTACTTTAATGATGTTAAGAGCCTTCTCCTCCTTGACCATTTCTTTTTTCACTAAGGGTGTACTCTTACTATTCAAGTCACAGCACAGAGTGTTTTATTATGTACTGAGGGCCCAAGCTCAACCAAAGAAATTGTCATTCACATTCTACCATTTCCCTATCTTTGGGGTTAGCAGCTCAACTTCCTCTAGATTATGATACCTGAGCGCCCAGAATTTCCCTACCAGCAACATACTTGAACCCCACCTATCAGGACTGAAAACAGGTTTAAGCGAAGCTGGGTGTGAGGATGGTGCAGAGTTCTGGTCTTTGGGACACAGGACTGCTGAGTGGATGCAGAGTCCATGGCATCTGACTGCAGTGAGATGGTGTTGTAAAGATTAAGAAGTATATAATACACACTAAAGCTCCCCCCACCCCACCCCGCCAAATCCTCTCCATTGTACTGAACAAAGCAAGGGAAAGAGGGAAACACATCCCCATGTGTACTTGGTTATGTGGAATCACTGACTTTAGCTCCTAACAGTCCTGATGGCACAGTAGTTAAAATGTGGCTGCCATCAGTTGAACCAATAGTGTGCTGCCAGAGATAAAGAGACAGCCTACATAAAGATGTACAGCTCTGGCAACTCTATAGGTGTTGGAATGAACTCCATAGCGTTTTTTTTGTTTTTTAAAATAAATCCCAAAATATTACATGTTGGTGGAGGAGTCGAACCCTTTTAATGTTAGAAACCTATGAAGAACATAATTTAAGGATACTCTAGCACAGATACTGTTTCATGTACATTCTGGTCCTGAAGCATCAGAACTGGCCTTTATCACTGTGTCAATATCCAAATTAAATTCTTTTAAATACTCTTTTCTATTTTGCCTTCCCTTACCACACCAAGTCTGAAATTGTGGTAAAATATGGTGTTATTACTGACACTTTCAGGTAAAACCATCAAGACACAATATAGTGTATTCACTCAAGGTCATTCTATTTAGAGGTAGGGTTGAGATTGGAAGGCAGACAGCCTGATTCCAGAGCCTCCCCTTGATAATACAGAAAGTTCCTTGGACTGCAAAGAATTGTACCAGAGACCCTATTTTCCATATTATCCATGGACTGAGTTATTTATAATTCACATTAAGTCTCTGATTTATGTTGTAAATAAAAAAAAATGTTATTCTTTGTATAGATTCTGGAAAATGGAAATATATGATTAGATTTTTATTCCAGTGAACATTTTAGTCTATGGGGTTTTAAGTACAGTCAGAAAATGAAATCTTCAACATTGGTGGAAAAAAAAATGACATTTAAAAAGTTGCTTTAAAAAACCCAACCCCAATGTATACTAGGAAGAAAAATGTAGTCATTTTAATAAAAACCCAATCAAACTAGGGAGCTCAGGTGGCCTAGTGGCAAGAAACTGCACTGCAGTCCCAGAGGTATGCAGTTCAAATCCACCAGATGTTCTACTGCAGGAGGGACAATCTCCTGTCAGATCCAATTTGACGGTACATACACACACAAAACAGTAAATTTTTTTTAAAACCAATCAAATTTAAAAAAGTGTCAATACTAAGATTCCTCCAAACTTAGAGAGTACCCAGAATTTACTTTCAAACAGGTTAAGTCACCTTTGAGAAGAATTACTCCTAGCCACATTAATCTTCAATTTATCTAATGATCCTATGCACATTTATGTTCATTGCAGCTTTGTTCACAATAGCAGAGTTGGAAACAACCCAAATGCCCATCAACAAATGGATAGAAAAGCTGTGGTATATATTCACACAACAGAATATCATGCAGCACTGACCAACAAGTAACTCATGTAATATACAAAATGGGTGACCCTGGAGGACATAAAACTGAGAGAAATATCTCAGTCACAAAAAGACAAATACTGCATAGTGCCACTTTTACAGAACAAGACTGATAGGGGAGATGGGGAAAACTAAGAAGAGGGCATAGAAACAGTAAACTGTATAAAAGGAACATATAATTAGATATTATTGGCATGACAAGAATCCAGAATAAGAGTTGCATAGTAAAGGGGGGGAGGGGCATGGGACTGTATAACAATGAAAGAACTTTTTTTTTCCCCAAAGAAAAAAAGCAAACTGGGGGCGGGGGGGACGAGGAAAATGTGCAACCATGAATGAATGGAAATCCAAGTTCTTTATAAACTCTCATTAAAACCTTAAAAAAAATTAAAAAGGATCCTGTCAGGCAGAATGAACCACCAATGAACTGATGCCAGCTCCTGGCTATCTCCTCCCATGTGATTTACAGCCTCTAAACACCCGCTGGAGGGTCAGCTATGGACTAGCTCTGACTTGCCGGACAAAACAAAACGGCCACCCTTAGGGGAGAAGAGTAGACTTGCCCCATCAGGACTCGGAGGCTGTGTATGTTAAACTGCTTTATTTTCCGCATGGAGGAGCAGGAAGGTTTGAACTAATCATCTTTCGGTTAGTAGGCCCTTAATCCACTGTGCCACTGGAGCTCCTCAAGGCAAAATCAACAGATAACAAAAGAGTGTAGGCATAGTAAGAAAGCCAGAACCCTCTCAGCATCCTAGGCCCACTGGAAAGATCAGCCTTACTGGATAGACTTGTTTCAGAACTTTTCTCACCAAGCCGAGTATCTTCCTACAGGAAGACCAAGTGAGTGGACCACACTCCTTTCGCTCACTGATTTTAGGTATTAAGGTAGTTTGAATTCTATTAGCACATTACTATAACTTGGCATCCAAAGAGGACATAATTTGCTGCTCTTACAATGCAAAAATTTCTGTCTAAATTATAAGCAAGTGAATGTGTGCAATTAGCACATTTCCTCTTGTGACTTCAGTAACTCTCCTCCTGGAGAAAAGCCTTTAGGGGAGGTTGTCAACTTTCTGGATTTGCAGAAACACCAAATAAAGGGTTCTTCTGGATAAAAGTACTCAAACTTTTTTCCAAGATCTTAAAAAAAAATCACCTAGCAATTTAAGCATGTTAAGTACACCATTTTGCTTTTCTTGGGATAAAATTCCCAAGGTAAGCTACCTTAAGCAGTTGTTATATGCACTGCTGTGAACTGGAACGGACTCAAAGCTGATGCTCCTCCAGTCGATTTTCAGAGGCATAATCACATGGAGATGACGCACCATTGTTGCTTCTTTCCACAGTAAATGCAAAACCTTGAAGTAGCTAATCTAAGGAATCTAGAGATTCATGCATACAAGCATTGGTTTATTTAAACTTTTAAATAAATATTTTAAAAGTGCTTGAGATGCTTTTACTTTTTTATTTGAAAACAAAGATAAATATTTTCGTTTTCTGAGACAGACCTCAACTAGATTTCTTTTTTCCATTTAAAGAATTCACTGCTATTAGATCGATTCTGACTCATGGTGACCTGGGGCTTGTAAATCTTACTTTTTTCTCAAAGCAGCTTGTGGATTAGAACCACTAACCTGTCAGTTAGCAGTCCAACATGTAATCTACTACGTCACCAGGGTTGTTCTCATGTTTTTTTTTTATGAAAGAGGTTCTAGTAACCTACATAATTTCCAGTCTGCTGGAAAAATAATGTAGAACAGTCTCTCTCATATGAAACTGTATGGTCACGGTGGAAATGAATCTGTAAATAATACTGAATATATGAAATTCAACTGGAATGATTTTGCATGCAGAGGAAGATTAACATGAGTGCTTTTAAAGTCAAACCAAAGGATAATCACATCTTTTCAAGATTTAACCACTTTAGCCACGACCACCAGGTTAAACAAAGATTAAGGAGCTAGAAATTGTGCAAGCTTTCCCCCTGTGGGACACCACCAGTTTTGCTAAAAGCAAGCCTCTAACATTGTTTCTGTGAACAAACCCCCTTTTTACTTGGTTTGAAAAAACTGCCCATTTTAAAGTAGCTCAGGCAAAATTTAAGGGCACAGATCAAAGTTGGAGAATCAGGTAAAAACCAGCAGTAAAGCCTTCCAAGTTTCTGCAAAAAAGGCAACAAACCTATGATCTAGGGCAAACACAGCTTAAGAATGAATCACTCTCTTATAGGATGTTTCAAGATAATGCTTTTTAATATTTCAAGTATTTTTTAAAATCTCATCAAAATGTATCACCTTAACAGTACTTTGCACATGTGGAATTTCATACCTAAATTTGATGATACTATTTTGGTTTAATTTATGGCTACTTAGAAGAAGACTCAGTAATAATGTCCATCCACTGGAGTCTTGTCTTTGGTTGAGCCTACCGGGATCAGGCTGAGAAACTATTTTATGCAAATGAGATGCTTAAAGCAAATTCATGGCAATATAAGAGTTTTCATGTAATGAAAATGAACGTTCAAAGGATTTCCATATTTAATCCCATTTTACTTCTAAAGGCTTAATACCCTGTTTTGAGGTTAATGAGTTTGACTAGGTCACACAATCCTGTAAAAATTACATTGGCTGCCCTTTAATAAATAAAGTCATTGTATAGAATTACATTTACAGAGTGAAAAGTGAATACATAGCATTTCAGATTCAATTTCGCAAGTACTAATATTAAGTACTGACCCATAACAATATACACTAGCTACTTTTTTTAACTGTCCATCATTAGCACCAATAATAATGATTCAACAAAATTACCTTTATTCCCACATCTCAAAACAATTCTGAAAACTCATAGTGAAGTTAGAGTCACAGACCTTAAATATTCATTGTTTTCTATGTCATACTGAAAATAAGTTCACTACTTTTCTGGATAGCTTTACAAAATCTTATTAAAATTCCTCATATTATCATCATCCCCAATAATACAGTAGAACCACCCTATGTCATTTCACATGATAGCTCCATAGAGGTTTCACATCTAAATTACCAAGGACAAACCCCTTCCCTCCCTCATCTTGGATTTAGCTTAATTCTAAACTAGTCCTTGGATTATGTACCACTGCGAAAGTGTAACTTTCTCAAAATTACCATGTGTATGGATACAATACTATGCCATACTAAGCAACAAAGTTACAGGTAATGACAAAGATCACTAAAGTTATGCAAGACAAGAACAAATGTTAGGACATGCTAGCTAGGCAAAATTCCTAGAAATAGGCTCCTATTCTCCTAAATGGAAATAACATTGATGAAAGAATAAACAGTTATCTTAAAAAAAAAATACTGGTAAATTAATTAACTGCTAAATAAAAGTAAAACATGGGGTTATACTCTATTATTTACAACTGCAACATACAATTAAAATGACAATTGTGCACGTATCAGTGGCTTTGTAACAAAAATAATTCATATACACAAGAAGAAAAATTAATAAGACAGTTTTCAGTTCAACTGATGTCAAATTCAACCCAGCTCAAAAGACACATCACCAGCTCAAAGATCTACCACAGAATAAATTCAAGCTTATCTAATAAACCAGAGCCATGTTGTTGGCATTTAACAGAAACTTTTAACAAGTTAAAGTCTGTTCAGAAGTCAGATGACTGTGCAAACTATTTACCTCAACAAGAACATATTGAGGCGTACAAACGTAAAACCTCCCAGTGGTTAACCCGGAGGCTGAGAGCATCCTAACCACCACCATTAAGTTATAAATACAGGTACAATGCACAGTCAGTTATCTTTTGTTTTTATTTGTCAGAATATAAAAGATTTGAGAGAGCAATAAGTTTAATTTCATTTTATAAGGAAGACTGCATTCACCTGAAAAAGAAATATGGAATCACACAAACACACATCCAAGGAGAATGTTTAAGAATATGGTGTTATTCTGAATGCTGAAGGAAAAGCAATCCCTGCTTACTTTTAAAACATGTAGTGTTAAAAGTTACTCTTTTAAGAAAAACTCACTGTGTAAGTTTTTGTGAATTTAGTTTCTAAATCATTATAATCCATATTACAATTATTAACAGCTCTGTCTTTATAGCACTGCAACAAGCCAACAAACATTTAAATGCACTTCACATCAAGAGTATGTAAACTTTATTCCCTCCTCTTCAAGCCTTCAGAAAACTTGGGGCTATTTCAGCAGCCAATCTGGTCATAACCTCCAAAGGCAAAAGTTCAGTGCCTCCCAGTGTAAATGACCATCTGTGGCACCACATACCCATCTGGTGGTGAACTGTCCCCAGTCAGTGGCTTTCAGTAAGGCCTAGAGTTTAAGGTCAACATGAAAAAGTGCCACCTTTGTTTTAGGTAAGTGATGGATTTCAACACAAGACAAAATAAAGTTATTCTGTATATTGTTATACTTACAAGCAGCTCCAATCCTGAGTATTTATGGTAATATCTAAACATACAAAAATGTATGTACATTTTTCTCCACTTTCTTGTAAACAGTTGTCAGTATACTGTTTTATCCCTTTATCATCGACACATGCAGATCATACATACGAGAATAAATACACAAAAGAAAACAATTTACACTCATTCAAAAGCCAAGCAACAACAACAACAAAAATAGCCACAGGATTCAAATTATAAATAACAAATGCTTGAGGCATCTTACATTCCTAGAAGCAGCCAGCCATTCATCCTAATGTTCTTAGCTGCAATTGTAGAAATACTGAGTTTTGCACCTTCCATGCTTGTACAGTATTTATAACACTATCATATGTGGAGATAACTTGTTTATTATCATCTCTTCTTTTTAGAATGAAGAATAAAGCAGCACTTACAAATATTGAAGCAGTGTTCCCACTGCTATATCAGGAGGAAGTTTTCCATTCTAACAATTTTTAAATTAAAAAAGTAAAGGAAAATTGACCTAAACAAAGGGTTACATGTTCATTCCTTGGGCACTTAACAGTGAGTCCAGCATGTCGAATGTGTCTTTGTAGTCCATATGCTGGCTGTGTGCACTGTACTCATGACTGGCGTCAGGACCGTTGGTCTCCACTGGCTTCTTGTCCAGTTTCACGAGGGTGCTGAGATGTCCGTAGCCCACCTGGTATGTGACAGGGGGAGGAGGGGGTAAGGGATGGTTAAAAACAGAGTTGTGAGAGGATACATACTGCTTAACAGAGGAGGAAGAACTAGATGAACTACCTGAACTTTTGGCACTTTTGCTCATTTTGGAGTGGTGGTTGTGGGATGCGTCATTGGCATGCAGCCTCTTCCTTGAGGAGCTGGAACTAGAGGAAATGCCATCAGTGCTCAGGCCAAGCGGACTCCTCAGCACAGTGGACGGGATTCCCTCAGTACCGTGCCTACTGCCAGCAGTACTGCTGCCCCCGTGAGTGTGAGCATACTTGTGAGTGCTGGGGGGGTGGCGGCTGGCCGGGTGCTCCTTGTGCTTCTCTTTAAGGTCTCTCGTAATAAGAGGGCTTGAATGCTTACTCTTCCCACTGCCTTCGTCAGAGGAGCTGTGTCTTTCTGAGGAAACTTTTATCTTCATTTTCAGATCTTCCTTACTGGCGTTTTTGTCAGTGGGCGGTATTGGAATCCGTAATTTTAGTGGTCCACTTTTTTCCTTTTTATCAGTACTGTATTTTTCAGGTTTCTCAGGGGTTGCGATTGGAATTTTCATCTTAATAGGAGAAGTCACTGCACCGCTGCTTGCTGCTGGCGGCTGCCCGTGCTTGTGCGGCTGCTCTCCTGCGGATGCTGCATGGTGATCACGCACATCCAGATCAAGAGTTTCTAGCTTACGTTTTTCTCTGTATTTATCTAATGACATTTTCTGAGGAATTATTCCAGGAGTAGCAGAAACTGGTCCATGGTGTTTACTGCTCCCTGCTTTATGAGTATACTCTTGTTTAAGAGAAGAGTGATCAGAAAGTTTTTCAGATCTATGATGCAATCCTGAATGCACTGAGAGCGAAGGTCTTTGTTGGAAGGTGATGTTGTACTGGCTTCCAGACGACATCTCTTGTTTCTGTGAATGTATCTGTTCTGTCCTTACAGATTCTTGATCTTGTGGCCAGCCCTGGTGTGATGATAAACTATACGAGGTACTTGGCATTCCTGTTGCTAGCACTGACAAATGATCAGATGTATGGCTGTCTCGAACAGAAATACCTCCTGAACTTAGAGGTACTGGTGCAGGGAATGCTGATGTAGATGGTTTCTGAAAGTTTGGGTTTGTAGCAGGGCCACCTGGGACATTATCTACTAAAATGGAATTCTTGACCAATGATGAGCCAGGAAGAGGTGTCTCTGACACTTGCCCGTCGACTTTTGGCTTCTTAGCTGCCTGACTAGCCTATGTGAATAAAACACAAAAGAAACAATAACAGCACGGGTATTTAATAGAAATTGCTTATAAAAACTACGAAATTTATGAAAACAAAAGAAACCTCAAAACAAATGAACTCCCTACAAACCCAAAAAACCTGGAGTTCAAGGTTTTATGTTACCAATAAAAAACTAATTGTCTTATTAGAGGTGTAATAGAAGGCTATTAAAAAGAAAGAACTATTTTGGGGACTAGATTCAGGCTAATCCTATTTCAGAATTAGAGAAAGTCATTTAACTTATCTATGCCTTAGTTTGCACATTTGAAAAATGAAGATTCCATCATACTGTGAAAAAAAAACCAGAAAATGAAGCACATGAAATAAGCCTAACAAATCTAATATTACATTGAAAAAATTGTTTAAATCTCATGAGATTGTAACACACTATAATTATTTAAGATTACGGAGAAATAAGAATGTATTAAACTATAAAATTTCAAAACTGGTCTCTCACCCTCCAGTTTCGAATCTTCTTCAATCTACTAGGCGTTTTCTCCAGTATTTGCAGAAACTCATGTGTTAGCTCTAAAAACAAAATTTAAATAGAAAATTTAGAAGGCTTCTTTAAGATTAGTATTTCTTGCAAACTGTGCCACTTGTTAGGTGCCATCAAGTCAAGTGCAATTCAGTGTCCCTCTGATCAGATCTGAACCCTGCCCATATCCAGTATCATCCTCATCATCACTGACACATTTGAGCCCACTGCTGCAATTTCTATGACAATCTACCTCGTTGAGGGCTATCCTCTCTTTCACTAACCTTCCCCATTTCCAACTGGGATACCCTTTTCCAAAGAATTATCCCTCCTAACAACATGCCCCAAGCATGTGAAATGAAGTTTACCACCCTTACTCTAAGAAGCACTTAGCTGTACTTTCTCCAAGGTCTCCTCCAAATAGGAAATCTCCATCAATGGAGTCTTTAAAATTAGAGGAGGAGGGAGAGAAAAATTAACTTCAAATTCAATGCCAGAGTCTGATTCCAATTCCCACCAACAATTCCCACCAACAATTATCTTGAATGAAAAGGCAGTAAGGAGAAAAGTTAACACAACATAGTGAAGACAGGACTGTATACTAAGAGGTACACAAAAATAAAGGCAACACTGGTAAATATGATTATACATATTAACCATGCAATAACAGTAATTATGAGCAGGAACTGACAAAGAATGCATAGGTAGATATATCAGTGGATGAAGTATGGGATGGTGCATGGGGAGTATACCCACATGCATGACATGGGTGTGGAAGATGACAGCTTTACACTTGTACTTGAATGTACTGAGAATATATTCATATATACACTAACATACGACAGTGGAACATATGAGGGAAATATTGGACAACTTCTTAGAACAAAACATACTAAATCAGTCACCGAGCTTGAGGACTTCAGACATCTTAAGGGATATCAAGATTAACTGGTATAAAAAGTCTACAAAGACAACATTCTACATGCTACTGGGGGGTCTCTAAAGTTTTTACATAGTCATATGAGATACAACTATTGGTTTCTTCTTATCCTGAGTAAAGAAAACCAATGATTCAAACAAACAATCTGTCAGGAGGAATAATGAACCACACAAACCATCACCTCCAGTAGACTGCGACCTGAAGAACTAGATGGTATCCAGTGACCAGGATCTCTAAAGGTCCTGCACAGAGCAGAACAGTGTGTAGTAAATGGAAAAGTCTTAAAAAACATTAGCTTAACTGATCTGAGACAGAGACTGGTGCAGGCCCCAAGATTACAGCCCTGAGACAACCTTCACACTTGGAACTGACCCTCAATCTTGGGACTCACCTTACAGCCAAACAATATATGGACTTATAAAGTGAACAAAAATACCTGTGAGGAATGTGCTCCTCAGAACATCCAGGTATACAAGACCAAACGGTGGTATCTGCCCAGAAACAAGGCCCGAAGGCAGGAAGGAGGAAAAAAGCAAACAGGGACACAAAAAGTGCTTTCATACTGAACAGTTTGCAACTAATAGAAAAATATTATCAACTAGAAATGAATATACTCTGTTAAGTTTTACCTAAACCACAATAAAATAGTAAAAATATATTAGGCAAAAAAGTCTGAAGAGGGAAAGGGTATGTGTATCATCTCAGTGTCTTTTCCAAGAGGTTCACTAATTAACTAACTAATTAATGAGAAAACAGTAACTTTATAGTGGAGAAATTAATCAGCCACAGAAATATGAATAAAATATGTAGCTAATGTAATACTTTAACAATGTTAACCTCTTTTGATCCAGTTTGGTTAAAGAAAACCTAGCAGATAAACAATACTTCTGGGTCCAACACTAATATGTTAACCATTTTAGTAGTTTGGTTGTCAAAGAATAAATGAATGTAAAGTGGTTGGTCTAAACTCTGGTACATAGTAGACATCTCTTAAGTTTTACTTTGTTAAAATTTGCAGAACAACAACAACAAAAATGTGTCAAATAATCAGTGTTAACCTAAGTAATTAGCTACTTATTAATAAAAGTCCAAGTTTAATGCTTAAGAGACTCCTCTGTGCAAAGCTCATACTCAGAAAAATTCAAAACAGAAAAAATATATGAGGTTTGCTATTAATTAAAATAGCAAGAGAAAGAACAAAGCTCAACTAGCCCAAATTTCCCAAGCCAGTGTTACTTTGGAACACAGTCATTTACTGAATTATTTCAGCAAAAACTAGTTAGACACCATACTAATAACTGGATACATCTTACTATTTTAAATTACACTGCATGTGTGCTCCTAAGGCTGTTCCCCGGCAAGTTAAAATGATCAATGTGCTCAATTTCCAAGATACACTCTCCAAATGAATAATAAACTCGGCCACCTGTTTTTGTAAACCCCACAACCATTCATTTACAAATTGCTCTCGAGTTACAATAGCAGAGCTGGCAGCTGCTGTGGACCAGTTGCAGCAGACTTCCAGTTCACACAATCCCCAAATAGTTACTACCTCCCCCATTCACAGAAAAGGTTTGCTGACACTTAACTAAAAACAAACAGCTAGGATTTTAATGGAATACCACGTTCTAAAGCTACAGAAGACTTTCTGTATAACATATGTTCAAAGAACCAACAGATGTAAAAACATTTTCCTATTAACTTCATTTTTAAAGGAAGTTAGGAAAAGCACTTCCCCACTCCCACTTCTACTACCAAAAGCTGAAGCCTTGACATACTAAACATTTAGGTCAGTAAGCTTCTTTCCCAAGTCCACAGTATCTGATTAGACTGTCATAATGCTCCAAAAAATATTCCAGCTCTGCCCAGTGTTTTACTTCTCAACTAGAGAAATAATTTGTCATGAGGAAATACCAAAATTTCATGCTCATATTTTACATAACTTGTATCCCCTTACAACAGTATAGGCTTTGCTGTCAGAAGCATTACAAAGCAAAGAACGAAGCAAGACAAACTGTTGGAAGAGTTGGTTCTTACTACACAGAACCTGGCTGGGGATCCAGTTTTTGAGGCTGTAAAGCTCTCTAGGAAGAAACTAAACATCTCTCTCTCTGTTGGAGAAGCTGGTGCATTAAAACGCTTAAACTTTCAGTTAGCTGCCTACCATCTGTGATATGAAATAAGGAGTGTACCTTGAAAATACCTTGGGCACATTGTTTCACATTATACAAAGTAAGTTAACACCCACCTTTAAGTACACACATTTAAAACTCAACATGAGTACATTTTAAGGGAGGGACAATGGCATTATCAGCTTAAAAGCATTAGGAATCATACTTCTATAGAAAATCTTCAGAGGGCTCTGGATACTCAGTAACATATTATCAATTTTTTCCCCCTTTAGGCTAAGGAATTATCTTTAACCTACTGAGCCCTTTGTCTAATTACAGTTACATTTTAAAGGGTCTTTGGAAATACAAATTGAAATATTAGAAGATGAAATGATATCTGGGATTGGTATTAAATTATGAAAGGAGATAAACTGACAGGATGGGAGGACAGGGATTACTAATTTTCAAATCTATATATAAGTAGAGAACATTGTTCCCTAATAAAAACTCTGTGTGTGTGTGTGTGTGTGTGTGTATTCTGGGAGACTGTGTTTCTCTAAGAGCCTTGACTATACTTACCATCTAGTAATTCTAGAGTAACGGTAGGATCTACATATTCCCACCAATGTTTTCCATCAGTTGACACAGGAATCTCCCAATTGGACCATTTGCAAGCCAAATGAATGCATACACATGCTATCACTGTTGGTTTGTACTGAAGACAGAAGGTTGTAAGATGCAGACTGTGGTACAGCAGGTTTGTAAATGAAGAGTCATAGGAATTCATATATGCAAAACAAAGAAAAACATTTACTAGTAAGACTATGGCAAAAACAAAATGATAAAGGTTTTTTTCTTTAAGTCTAGAGTATAAAGCATTACTGTATTAAATTAAAAACTAACATTGTAGTTGTAAAAATTCTATTCAGAAAAGCCTATATAAGATTATGAGGTTTCCCCACCCTCACCTCTCCAGGGTATCATTGTATGTTATATTTTTACTATACGTAACATTTTATCAATACCAATATTCAAACTCAATAAAAAATGTTTTGGAAAATTTGTGGTTGGATAAAAATTCAAAGTATTTTCACTCCCTTAAAAAAAGAAAGATAATATATTTACAATAAAAATGATTTAGTTATGTATAATAAGCACAACATTCTACTTTTAAGAAGTATTATTGTTTCTGTTATAATTTTATAGCAAAATGCAAAGAAAAAAGTCAGAAAACTATTTGTAAATTTGATAAAGGTAATGCTATCCTCACACTGTAATCAAGGATAATACTATTTAATGTAGACTGAGCAGCATTTGTATATCCTAAACGAATTCTCAAGTATGTAAAAGAGAATTTAACACTTAACTATGTAAATTTCACTTTCTCTTCAGTAACCACAGAGAAAACTTACCTTCTAAGTACAGTTTCCAGGCTCAATGTTGCAAAAGTACTACCCTTCTCTCACTATTTGTCAATATAACATATCACAGACAGCATCTTTTAATCAAAGTTTTAAAGTAATTCTTTTTTGTGGGTTTTTGTTTTGTTTTGTTTGTTTGTTTTGTTTTTTAAGAATTAGAATCAGGAGGAATAGAATTTAAATCCTAACAACATATAGCTAAGAAAATGGCTGCGATTAAAAAAAAATTTTAGTGAAACTTCTTAATGTCACAAGAAGTTAGGGCTATACAAAGCTAGTCTTATTCTTGCTTCTCAAAGACTTATTTACAAAACAAACTTAAATCACTAATATAATCAATCTAAAACAGAATTATACTACTATTTTCTAGTTCAGTTTCAAAATTGAAAAATGTGTAATTCTCAACTATAAATACATAACATTTTTGCTTTAAATATACTGAAAAGGAAATCTGGTTTTTAAAGTAAAATTGTACTCAGGCTGACTACTTCTAGTTTACCACTAGTGGGTACTTAACCGGAAAAAAATCCCCCCAAATTATGCAAATTTTATTTATATTATATATAAGCTTTAATGATTATTTTAAGGTTAGGATTGGAGCAAGGTGAAATTTTTAAAAACTGTCATTTAACTATAATTGTAAACTAGAAATAGCATTATACTTACCAAATGGCTCGAATTTCTATGTTAAGTTTAGCTCTTTGTAATCTTTAGCTGCTATTCAGGCTACCAATTTTAGACTTATGCACTCACAAATCGAGAATATGTCATCAGAAAGCACCACTACACTTCACATTGTGCATTTAACCCCTCTGTGCCAAAAGTCCCTTGTACAATACACCGCAAAGCAAACAGGAAGGTACCACCACAGTAGATGGTCCAGTCTCCTGTTGCAACAAGGGTAAGAGACACATTGAGGGGGCCCTGCATTAAAGGAAGCTATAGTGTGCTACAACAGTGCAACAAAGAGGGTCAGGATAACAACCTGTTGGTAGCCATGAAATAGGATGTCTGTGCCAAATCCTTGCTTGCTGTAAGAAAAGAGAAAAAAAAAACGGAAACAATACTATCAGCTTTAACACGTTTCCATTAAAAAGTTCTCAACACAACAAAAACTTAAAGATTTGTACACAAAAAAAAAAATTTTACTTACTACTTACAAACATCACAAGAGCGCCATCATTTTCTATACTACTGATAATCTTCAACAACATTCACTCAAATGTTTCTTGCTATCCCCCAAAGATCTGAGAAACAAGCCGATTTGCTTTTAGCTAGCCAGTTACAAGGGCTAAACTTGTTACTAAGTTAAGCACCTAGTCAGCTAAAAGGTGCAATAAAGCATTCTCCTGGATTCAAAACAAAAAAAAAAAAAAAGAAGAAGAAGAAGAAGAAAAGATTTTGAAGTCTAATACAAAATACAAAGAGTTGCCTGCCAGACTTAATCCTGTCATCATATTTAAGTTGGCTTAAATAACATCAAAGAAAACAAAATAAAAGAAACCCCCCTCCCCAAACTTAAGACAAAATGCTCAGTTTTCACCATGCTACTACTAAGCATCAAAGGAGACTATGACCCTAGAAACATAAGGGTGTAGATAAATGAAGTGCCACTGTATTATGTAAAACCAGTATTTGCGGAATCCACTAAAAGACAATGTTTATGAAAAATAAAAATACTCTGAGGAAAACATGGATGCTTAGCACTGGTCCCCAAAAGAAAAGCAATTCTTAGCTACCTTTCTTCAGACTGTAAAAATGTACTCCATCCCCTTCCCCGCCTTGCTATTTCTTTTTATTCTTCCCAACCGGGACATCACTGCTTTAATTCTCCCTTTCCCAATTACCTTCATAATCACTGGTATACCTTTCCCCTCTGCTCACCTAGGATCAAGTTCAACCCCTCAACTCCACCCCTCTCTAGTAGGCTCAAATTCCTTTCCATCTCCTATTTTTTTCTGCTTGGCACCTGTAATCCCTGCTGCCTCTGTGCATCACCAATAACATGTTTTACAAAAGGGATTTGGGCTTAGCAGAGTTGCACTAGGGAAGAGTGTCAAGCATCAGATGTCTTGGAGGCAGTAACTTAAGTATGGCATTCTTTCCTGGTGGGGAGGGAAGGAGAAATCACAGAAGTCAAAGGTCCCTGTAAAACGACATTAGCTAATTCTTCAGCAAAGAAGCATTAATATCAACGTTTTCATCTCCAAGGGGGACAAATTTTATAGAAACCAAACTTATCTATTCTACTTCCCAAAAAATCTCTCACACTTTATAGAAAAGAAAGTAAAAATTCTTTTAAATCACTGTGGAAGCTTTCACCTAGAAATATACCTAAATTAAATGACTTATAATCAGGTACTGTACTAGGATTAATGTAGGGAAAATGTTCTTTGGTTAGCTGGAGGTTGTAACAGAGCAAAGAAAAAGCCCCCAAACATAAAAGAACACCTTCAAGTACAGTGAGATGTAAAATACTGCTACCAGAAATGTTAGTCAGACAACGGAGTTAAGCATGTATGTAATTTATACATTTACAGTGACCAAAACATCAGATAGAAATAGTTTTGCTTTGGCTGCTGAAATGACCTCATGCTTCTAGACTCTTTAGAAAATGTAGGAGAACATTTACAGTAGAAATTAAATGTTTATGAAGGATTTCAAGGAAGATGCCTCAAACTTTACGAGCAAGAATACTCAGTTGAAAACATAAATTTCCTATTAAGTTCAAAATATATACAGTTTGACCTAAACCTGTATCTTCCACCAATAGGAGGCTCAATTTAAAGCTAATTATATAGCTCTGTTATCCTAACAAAGTTTAACCTTAGCTCCCTCCTCCAAAATTATACTGTAAAACTAGGAATAAAAAATGTGCTACAAAATAAAATAATATAACCCCAAGGAATGCTGATGTTATTGTGTGCCATCAAGTCAGATCCAACTCATAGCTGACTTCCCCAGTGGGTTTTCAGAAACTGCAAATCACATGGGAAACTGCTGATCTTTCTCCCATAGAGCTTCTGATGGATTCAAACTACATGCCTTTGGGTCAGCAGTGCAGCTCCTTACCACTAGGCCAATCTACCTCCCTAATTGTAAGTAACTGTCATTAAGGGATAGTTAATTATTTTAGTGTACAAATGATAGCATATGGTTGGACAGGATAAAAAAAAAATATGTTCAGTTCTTAAAAATACTGGTTTTGCTGTGGATTGGAAGCATTTATTAATATAATGGAATCCTATCTATGCATAAAATTAACTCAATTTAAAATAAAATGTAGTATTTAGATAAAGACTAGAAACTTGCTCTCTCACAAAAAACTACCCCAAAATTAAAACACTTTCAAACATCATACCCACTTAGTCTAGGATAAATCTAAAGAAATCTGATGGTAAAGGAATGAAACCATCAAATTTCATTTCCAAAAAGAGGGTAACAGGAAAAAAAGCACACAACAAGTCTGCAGGGGTCACTGTTAGTATGCAACATTTCAAGTGGGAAACTGGAGCAAGAAGCAGTGTAACAACATTCCGCAATTAAGTGAAAAATATTTCTAAAGATGTAGTAACAGAAGATTCATTAATAAGAGCAGGAAAATGTCACTCTACATGCTTTATAAGCAGCAAAATAAAAGAATGCAAAAAACTTCTACTCTTGTTGACAAGTTTTAGCAGGCACATAAACTATATATATCACATTATAAATCTTCTCACTACATGAAAAAAGGAAACTAGTTTTAGTAATGCTGAAGAACTTAAATAAATTTTGTGCAAATGAATATAGGCAAAACATCTCCCCAAAATGACATTATCTAACAAACACAATTTTTAAATGGAAACAATATGATTTGGTCTCAAACTCTAGAAACAGTTGGTATTCCTCAAGAAGTCAATGAAAATTAAACCCAAACTGGAAGTTATTTTCTGAACCAAAGTATTTACTGGGTTACATCTTAAACATTAACTGATAGGGACCTCCATACTCTACAGACCAATGAGGAAGAAATCAAAGATTTTAAAATCCTTAACTTTTTTCAACAAATTAAAAATAAAATAAGTAAAAAGATAATTTATCAGGCAGAACCACAAGAAACTACAGGAAAAGGCAGATACAGAACACACACACACACCCCCTTTAAAACTATTTTCTCTCCGTTTTAATAAAGCTTAAAAAAAGTTATAAGCATAGAACAGCATATGAATCAATTATAATTGATAAAAAAAAAACACAACAAGAATACTAATCTTAAAAGTTTCAAAGGTCACTTACCTCTTACTAACTGGGTGCACTTCACCACATCTGTGTGTGGGTGTTCAATGGTTATCTCAAAACCTGAAATGAAAAGTACTATTTTTTTCCCAATTACTCTACGGAGCTCTGGTGGCCTAGTGGTAAGGAGTTACACTACCAACCCTAAGGCACACAGTTTCAAATCTACCAACTACTCTGTGGTAGAAATATGGTCAATCTCCTTGCATTCAATGTACAGCCTCTGAAAACCTGCTGGATATTTAGCTATGAGCCAGTTTAAACTTGATGGTATACTGTCATCACAACATAATTCTTATACATATCTCAACTTTTTTAGAGATATGAAAGGAACACTTTCTATAAAAATAATCTTTGGCCGACAGGTGTAGAAATGGCCCTTTGAAAGTGACATTGTCCTCTCATCTTCTTACAATGATGAATAGAAAAAGGCTGGCAAGGTTGTCATCAAGTGTAACTGACTCAACAGCAGCTATCTACCTATGTACAATCATCCTATTTTGAAGCTATGACCAGTTAGTTTGTAACTACATTTCACTAATAATTAAAATTACTAATGACCAAAAAACATTTAGGTATCAGGATTCACTAAATTACTGCTGTTAATACAAAGAGCAAATACAGAAAAGCTTTCAGTGTCCAATCAATCCTTGAGTATATTTCTTTATTTTAAAAATGGAGACCAAATCTAGTCTTCATTTCTGTACATGAATAAAATCCAACAAGTATCTCTATTTATAATTTTATTGTGACATCTGTTTTTACCCAACTCAATGTGCAAAATAATAATTTATAACTGTTGTTAAGTGCCATCTAGTCAGAACTGACTCCCAGAACCTTCCAGCAGGTTTGTAGAGGTTGTAACTGGCACAGGAGATGGTCCATCTTTCTCCTGCAGAGAAGCTGGTGGATTTGCAACACCTGCTATGGGGTCAGCAGTGGGACTCTTTACCCATTAGGCCACCGAAGCCCTCTAATTTGTAATTAATCATTTTAATGTCACTATTTAAATATTTATAACTTTCCTATTATGTACTCATGTAACTTATGCTCACTTCAAAAAATATCCCTTATATTATAAATTCTTCAAATTACCATTGAAATAAAAAAATGTGTCACTAAAATTTTTAAGTTGTGCTGATGATCATAATTCATGTTAAAATTTGAATATGAAATAACAATGCTTAACTAGCATTATGATGACTACTGTGACATATTTACTATATGGAAAATGGTTTTTTGCACATTATCTTTCATTTGCAAATTCATCATGCAAAATATTATTCTATCTCACATACACAGAAATGGAGGCACAAGAGTCAAAGAACTTGTGCTCATAATTTACAAAACAAGTCAGATACTTGTAGATTCAAATTCAGATGTCCAAAGTCCACTACAACTTGCTTATTTTCTCCAAGAAGGAAGAAATTCACAGTTAAATGAATGAAATCAAACCTAAACATGTTAACTATTCTACTGTTGCGTACTACAGATTTGGAACTGACTCATAGCTGACCCTCTGGCAGGTTTTCAGAGGCAGTTAAGTTGCCGCATACTTTTAAATTGGCGACTGTATTTAGAAACACTTTTTTTTTTGTTATAATTGGCAACTGTGCTTAGAAACACACTTGTTTTCGCTATAGCCATCATTTGCAACAACATGTTAAATGCTTCGGGAGGAGACTGCCCATCCTTCTCCCATGGACCAGCTGATGGCCTCAAACCACCACTGCAGTGCAGCTTCTTGCCACTATCCACTACACTACTTAATTATATGACTAATAACAACTCATAACTTTCCTAGGTGTCAATTTCTTCACAAATTAAAAGATCAGATTCAATCATCTTTAAAGATCATTTAAGTTGCCTAAGCCTTTAATATGAAGATAAAACTTTCAGAAAAATATGGTTAACATTTAAATAATTATCGTCATACTGAAGACTAACTACAAATTCTTGAAGAACAAGCATTACCATACATTTGAATACATTACAATCATAAATAACAGCCCTAAAAAATTTTACTCTTTAGTGCAAGTAACAGCTAGGCAGTGTATGGGCTGAATTTAAAGGAAAAAAAAAGGCAATTATACAACCATATGAAGATCAATCAAATCACATGAAAAATTGTATTTACCGTCTAATTCTATTATGCCAAACTGAACTTAAATTTTAGAAAAAATATTTGATAACCAAACCAAGTAACACAATTCTAACTCAAAAATTTATTTTAAAGTAGCTTTCTTTAGTAAGTAGTTACTGAAACATTATTTTTATTTATCTGGACTCCTACATCACAGAACAATAAAAAAAGTACATACCAAGGGTTTGAAGCATTATGGTTTCAAGTATAACCAGTTCTTGAGTCTGTTGAAGGTAAGCCTGTCATGCAAAAATAGTAATAATACTTATGATAAACACAGCACTATCAGATGACTATGGAACTGTTGCATTTTATGAGAACTACAAGTTTACTATGAAAGTCTGAAATATAGGGGGAATTTTTATAGTAGTGTGGAAACAGGGGTTTGGGAGGGAAGGACAGCAATACAAATGGACGGTGACAGAAAAAAAACCTATTTTCTGTGGCAAGTCCAAACCGATTCCTCACCTCCCTTCAAACAGGTTTTTAGGCTGTAAACAGCATGGGAGGAGACTGCCCCTATTTCTCCTTGGAGTGGCAGACTCAAACTGCTTACCTTTCGAGTTGGCAGCAGACTCTATCAAAGTTCCCTTTTTAAATAAAGAAACAAACACCAAGGATACTATGATAAGGGTAGGGTAATTTTTGTGAAAGGAAAAAGCTACACTGTCTAGAAAAAAACTGGGGATAATAATTTCATAGTTGAGGGGAATAAATATGTATTAAGGTCAGTGCACAGCAAGGTAGCAAAATCCATCAAACTCAAACCTGTCTTTAAGGAAAGAAGTTATACTCTGAATCTAGGACATGCCAATGTAGCAGCTACTTAAAAATCACAGTAAGCCAGTGACCTAATTTTAGAATTTATCTCCCCCCCCCCCATTTTAGAGAAGATAAAATAAAAAGCAATTCTCAAGAGCAGTAAAACCAAAATACTACTATCAGTATGACAGAAGGAATTTGGGTGGTCAAGTGGCAACTGCCCACTTAAAAGCAGGTGACATTAATTCACCAATGAAAACAGAGAATCTTTTAGGAAGAAGATAACCACATTTTCTCCCAGGGGATGGTGGGCTGAAACTACCAACATTTCAATTAGTAGTCAAGCACTTTAACCATTGCTCCACCAGAGCAATGATATAAAAATGCAGCAAAATAATGTGTAATACACTCACAAGTACATAAATACCAAAAGCTCTTTCCCCTTAACGTCAATCTTAAATTAGCCTCTGATGACAATTAAAGAAAAGGTATAAAAACCTTAACTTTATTGTTCTTACTTCTTAGATCATATGATAAAATTATTTCTTTACAAATACCATTTACATAAAGACATAATATTGCTAAGTCAGAGACTGAAAGCATATTTCTTTTCATGGATGATCCACTTTGAAAACGTTAACATTTAACATCTCATTATTTGAACAATATACTGAAGTGTTTGTTCACAAGAATTACGTCTGTATTTGTAAAGTTAACAGAAACTATAAGAACCATCCTTGAATAATCTTGAATTTCCATATTTATTAAAAAAGTTTCATTAGTATTCCACTAGGATAAACATGTCATTAATAAAATCAACTATACTTCCATCAAAGCTTAAATTACTCTGGACTTTAAACTTGTTCCAAATGAAATGTATAGTTTGGTAGACTTAATCCTAAATAACTCAGTTATAATAATTACGCTGAAGTATTTTAGTCTTCATTTTAAGAAAATGGTGGAAAATTATTAAATGGTGATTTCCAGTATGGCCTATTATGTTCAGTTATTCTAATAACAAACAAGTAGTTTGGACACAAATGTTGTCCTTTAGGGAAATTAATAATAAAATGCACTCATTGGTGCATAGTAAAATGTATCTCCACCATAGATGTTGTCATTGTATACTCTCAAGTCAGGAATGGCTCACAGCTGGTCCTCCAGTGGGTTTTCATACGCAGTAAATTTCCTGTTGACTGTCCATCCTTCTCTCAAGGAGCAGTTGGTGATGTCAAACTGTCTTTGGGTCGGCAGCACAATTCCTTACCAAGAGGCCACCAGAAAACTCCCTACAGATCAGTGCGTGTACACATGTGTACACACACACACACACACACACACACACACACGAACATTCTTTTAAAAAGACTAATTCATTACTAGTCTGGAGGCAAATCTGATTTTCTACTCATCATCTGCCGGCAATTTGATCTGAGGTAGTCATTTTATCCTCCAGTCTCATGTACAGTTTACCATCTATATGACATGTTTGCTGTAAGGATCAAGATCAATAAGGAAACAGGAAACACCTGGAAATATTGTTGAGTCAAAGCCTTACGTGCTTTAGGATGGTACTCAAATTCATGAATAATATATAAAATAAGTTTCTGTCAGATTAATTTCTGGTATATTTCTAAAGTTGCGATGAAATTAAGCAGCATTTGGACAGAATACGAATTGGTTTCTATCAGGCTTACATTATGAAGAAACTTTAAGAAAAACTAAGAACATAATTTTACATACATCACATTTAGTATCCAGAAGTGGCTCTAGGGGATGAAGACAAGCATGTGCTACTTTGATAACATGTTCAAGTTTTCGAGCCTGTTCTTCCACTTTTGCAGCCAAAAATAATGCAGTGGGTGATATTATCTGCAGAAAAGATAAAATTTGGTAATTAAAGCAAATGTTTGAAAAACCCTACTTTCTAAGTGGAGGGATGCATGCAACAAAAGGACCGTGAGAGTAATGGTAAGAACGGCAATCTGGACAAGAGTTTAAATAAAGCTATTCATGAAATACTTTTCATTTTGGTTAAGTGAAAGTTTACATTTTAATTTGCTCATTGAGGAGGAAAAAGAATTCAAGCAAGTGTACTGATCTTCCTAAAGCATTTTTTAAAGGGCATGCTCTGACACTGGTGAAAGGGTGGGTCCCAGAACCAATTCCTTATGGAAACTAAGTGACATATATATAGTCAACAAAGAGATAAAAATCCCAATGTACAATAACTTAGTTTTCATAGATTTAGAGTAAATCACTCACATTCTTTTAAACTAAATTTGTTATTACCCAGGCAATAGCAATATTACTTACTATTCCTGATAAATAAGTTAAACGGCCATCTCTAGAATAAGGATAGGCTGAAACTAGAGAGTAAAAGTTAACTGGGAGCAGATAATCATTTCCAACCCCAGTTATTTTCCCCACATACTTAAAACTCCCTACAACTATAATCTACTTTCTCTGGTCAATTCCTTTTCTACTTAAAGGCTTAACTCCTTTAAATAGATTATCATTCCCCAAGGTTAAGTTCCTGAGTCTGTGTGAAACATACTTCCTTATTAACTAGGAACCTATGCATACCTCTACAAAGAAGAACGTGGCATCAGGTTCAGAGGAAGACTTATCAACAATCTGCATTATGTAGATGACACAACCTTGCTTGCTGAAAGTTAAGTGGACTTAAAATGATCACTGCAAAAGATCAAAGACTACTGCTTCCAAAATGAATTACATCTCAAAATCAAGAAGAAAAAAAAAATCCACACCCACCGGACTGATAGGCAACATGACAGAGAAAATACTGACAATTATCAATTATTTCCTTCACCTTATTTGAATCCACACTCAACACTCTTGGTACCAGCAGTTTAGAAATCAAGAGATGGGAAAATTTGCTTGTAAAGGATCTCTCTAAAGTACTGAAAAGCAATGATATCCATTTAAAGACTAAGGTGCACGAGACCTAAGCTTCGTTCTTTTCAATTACTTGCCACACATCTGTAAGCTGGACAATGACTAAGGATGACAGAAACAATGCTTTTGAGTTTGTGGCACTGGAGAAGAGTACTGATTATCCCATTCACTGCCCAAAAGAACAAACAAGTCTTGGAGAAAGTGCAGCAAGGGTACTCCACAGAGATAAGGACGGTGAAACTTTGTCTCACATACTCATGCTGTTATCAGAGACCAGTCCTTGGAAAAAGACATCATTCTTAGAAAGGTCAGTGAATGAGAAGATAAACTTCATCAAGAGGGACTGACAAAGTGCTGTAACAATAGGCTCAAGTATTTCAGAGATGATGAAGATGGCACAGAACATGGCACAGTTCAGACTCATTATTCACAGGGTTGTTATGCATTGCAGTCAACTTGACATACTCTATTCCAACTCTTGGTTTATTAATGTTATCTCTCCTTCCAGTATAAAAGTGCCTTGAGCACAGAACTATTCTTTTGTGTTTTCATTATTTAGTGTAGGAGTTGTCTCTTACAATATTAAACGGTGAGAACACAAAAGAGGGGGCCAGTCCTTGGGAAAAAGACATCATGCTGGGAAAGGTCAATGAAAAAAGCAGGATGAGCCTCAATGTGATGGACTGACATAGTGACTTCAACAGTGGCTTGAGTATGGAAGAAATCGTGAAGATGGTACAACAGTTCGATCTGCTGCTCACAGGCTTGTTATAGTAATAGCTGTCCCTCAATGTTTGTTGAATGAATAAGATATGGGTAATCTATACATAGGAAGCTTTGCTGGCTACTTGTTAGGTGCATTGTTGAGTCAATGACAACTCACAGTGAGACTATAACCAAGAGATCTGATGCTATCCTCATCATCTCTTACACACTCCTGCCTCCATCTCATTGAAGATTTTCTTCTCTTTCACTGATTCTCCACCTTTCCAAGTATGATGTCCTTTGCCAAGGACTGACCCCTTCTAACAACTTAAAGTATGTGAGATGAAGTTTTACTATTCTTGCCTACAAAGGCATTCCGGCTGTGCCTTTTCGAAGCCAAAATAAAATAAAAGAACAGCCAAAAGTAAAAGAGATAAGAATATTTTAAAGAGAAGTGCACGAAGACAAAGCAATGTCTTATAAAGCAATGTGCAAGGAGAATAAAACAGGAAAAACTCATTCAGCATTTCTCAAGCTGAAAGAACTAAAAAACAAATTTAAGTTGTTGTAGTACTGAAGCAAAGCATGCAATCGGCAAAATCCGAAATGATCCAGAAGCATTTAAAAAAAAAAAAAAAAAAAGATGGAATACAGTCAGTCGCTGAACCAAAAACTCCTGGCAGACAGAACCATTTCAGGAAGTACTGCATGATCAAGAACCAATGACAGACAATAAGGAAAGAAGCACAAGTTGCACTGGAGGTAAAAAAAAACGGTCCCAGGAATTGATAGGATACCAACTGACATGTTTCAACAGACAGATGCAGCTCTCCAGGTGTGCTCATCACGCTATGCCAGAGAATGTGGAGGACAGCTACCTGGCCAATCAACTGGAAAAAAGATCTGTATTTGTTCTCATTCTCAAAAAAGGTTATTCAACAGAATGTGGAAATTATCAATGTCATTAACATTAAAATCAAGTAAAATCTTCCGGAAGGTCATTAGAAAACTACTAGAAAATTTTTTAAAATACGTCTGTTAAAGAATTTAAGACCAACACTGACAATATAACTCAAATATTACTAGGGCTGTGTTCTAAATGTTTTCTTACACCCTTTCTAAGTTGAATGGTCTCCTCCCATAAAGATTTACAATCTCAGAAATGCAGAGTCTTTATGAGTCAAAATGAACATAGTGGTAGTGAGTCTGTTTGGTTAATCAGTCAGTGGAGTCAGGATCTCACTGAGACAGTTTGTGTGGTATGTTTACATAGAAATTTGTCTTATTTTAAGAATGTAAAAATCCCCTTGTGCTAGAGTAATAAACTGTGATTATTATTTAAAAGTTCCTTTTTAAATTCTTCCCTTTAGTTACTTTACAAACCAACTGCCAGAAATTCAGGCAGAATTTCTTTAATAGGTGTATTTTTTTTAAATATTTTTGCTCACATTCTGTCAATGCAACTTCTTGGCAGGTTTTGTTGCAATCCAAGCTCAGCAGATTCAAACAGTAGAATTATATTACACATAACCTGGTTTATGGCTGCATCACTTGCATCTCCTCCTTTTTTCTCCCAAAGGAGCTCTGGTGGCATGGTATTTTATGTGTTGTGTTAACAAAAAGGTCTGTGGTTCAAATCCACCAACTGTTCCATGGAGAACAGTCTTTTTACATGAAGATTTATAGTCTATGAAACCCAACAGAGGATTGCTGAGTTGGAATCAATGTGACAGCAATGGATTTGGTTTAGTGATTTGATCCAATTCTCTTCCTTTTCCAGTTTTCTCATCTTGCCCATTCCCACAGAAGAATCCAGACCAAAAGGGTAAAAATGTAGAAGATAATTTAAATATCCTCACAAAATAATTTTCAAGAGGTTATTTCAAGATAACCTTGAAATGCTAAACAAAATATATCACCTTAAGTCTTTTTAAAATGACAAACAATATTTTAGCTGATGGCCTAGTGGGTAAGGAGTTGTGTTGCCAACCCAAAGGCAAGTGGTTCAAATCTACTAGTGATCTCACTGGAGCAAGATAGGCACATGCAATTTTAAGTCTCTGGAGGGAGGGTCAGCTATGAGTGGGTTCAGACTCAAGGGTAACAATGTTTCAGTTTGTTATTTACTGAGTTTAAAGGTAAAATGAAAGGCTTTCTGAAGACATCATTTGCATGGAACTGGGCTACAATACTCAAAGCAGCACTCACAGTTCTAACCCACCAGCAGTTTGGAGGGAGAATGATGTGGGTGGGACTGCTGACCTTTGGGTTAAGGACAGAGCACTACTGTACCACCAGAGGTTCTAAAAAGCACAGTGTGAGTGAAAATTGGATGGAGTGTTGCTGTAAACCTCACAGGAGATGTTCCATCTTTCTCCCATAAAACTGCTGGTGGATCTGTGCCACCAGGGAGGTGTCACCTTTGGGTTGGCAATACAAACCCCTATACGCTAGGTTACCAATTTCCTCTTATCTAGATAAAGTCCTCCTCTTAGCCATTTATAAGTTTGCACAGGAAAAGACAGGAACGCAAAAGAACATCTTCAAATTTTTAAATAAGATCTACTTATTTAAGACAATGGGAGAAGTTAAAAAGATTTTTGAGAAAGTGAAAAAGTGGTCATAAAATTTAACAAAAATCCTACTTTGTTTATATGTGGCTAAACAATGTACATATGTACAAAATGAAGCTCAGATACAACATACAAAGAGGTCTTCTTTTAAGTCATAAACCCAAAATCAGCTGCTGTTCGTTGAAGTCTTTAGGTCACATTAACTCAAGGAATCCTTAAAATTCACTGTAAACGCCTGTGGCATAAACAGAATAATACACTTTAATCTTGCATATTATAAGCAGTTTTGATTGATAAAGGTTCAATAAAGAGACAACAAGCTAGCAAGTAAAAATGGTCATGTGGCTTGTTGGGACCACAATGATAGACTACAATCAACAAAAAATACTTTGGAAACCATGTGTGCTTTACAACTGGTTCTTGACTCAGAACAGGTTTGAGAAACACATCATAAACTTGACTAACCAAACTAATTAGAGCTCTTTTGAGAAGCTGGATCAATATCTACTCTAAGGTTGACACAGGGGAGCGTGGTATTCCTTAGTGTTATGGGTATTGTTGGCCTCCAGGCTTTTTACTCCTTATTAGAGGCTCTCAAGAGAGAAAAGTGGATTGCTATTTACAGCCTCGGAAACCCACAAAAGCTCAGCTATGAATCAGTTCAGATTGGACACCAGTGAGAATCAGCCTCAGAAATCAACAGAGGGTTGTCTGTAGTCAGAACTGACTGGAGGGTAATGAGCTGCTTTATCGGTCAGACTGACTGTGGACCCAATGTTAGCAAGGTAATTCTTACTAGGAATCCCAATCACATAAAACTTCACTGTATCCAGTGAGTAAAAGGCTGGAGCTGCTAGTTGTCTATAAGTTGGTTCTAACTCACAACCATATGTATATTGTTACTAAGTCACAGCAAAGCCATGTAACACTGCCAAACTGTCCCAAAGGGTTTTCTAGATTGTATTCTTTAAAAAAGAGTAAAATGCCAGGTCTTTCTCCCCTGGAGCCACTACACTGGTTTAAACTGCCAAACTCTGGGTCAAAAGCGCAAAAGTTGTTCACTGTACCATCAGGGCTTCTTTGCATTTTATAGGTAAAAAGAGTAAAATTTTGCCTGAACTTATGTAAACAAAGATTTTTGACAGATTTGTGTCTATTAAGGCTACTGTGATTTAACCCTCAAAAAGAAACCAAGGAAAGAAGTCAATGGTAAGAGACAGTTTCTGGATCACTCACGCACATGCGGACACTGAATTTATTCCTGAAAAACCATAGCACTTTGTAAAGAGGAAGCGTTCTTTTATTTATTAACACAAGAATATAAAAGTAAACCACTGCATGTCAAGAGATTAAATATAAGTAATGTGTATTTCTCCTATTAAAACTAGTTATAATTTGTTTTGTTATTTCATAGGCTTAATTTTACCAAATTATGTTCAATGTATTTGCTGGGTAAGACTCATGCATTTTATTTACCAGAACATGCCACTACAGCTCTATTATGGAAAAAAATCTGCCTGACAACGTTGGAAGTATGAATTTAAAAGTGACTCACATTCTGTTTGTGACTACTTCCTTCACCCTAAAAGAACTAAGGGGGGGTGGGAGAGTGAGGCTGTGCAAATGACCCAAGTGTACCAGTATGAGTAAAAACACCTGATATTATAAAAGCAAAGAAAATCTTCAGACATGAAGAGTACAATGTTATTTTTCAAGCTAGAAAGAAGCATCAGCTTTCCATTATCTTAAGTCAGTTAAATATATGATGTTCTTTCATATACACATAAAAAAGGAAGTAGAAGAAAAAAGATAGTTTGGCTTTTAATGAAATGATTGTTATTTACATAAAATAGTGAAAGTTGGAATGTAAGTGACCTAGGATTTAGCCAACTTAAAAGTGAAAGCTGTAAATGTTGGGTTTAAGCAAGAAATTTGTTTTCAAGCACATAAACGAGGCCACAGAAACAGTTTATGAGAGGACGATTAAAAGGAGAAATAAAAAGATGAGTGAGATCATTTACTGCAAGTAGAAAAGTAAGCTTGTTTCAGCAAATAGGACACACAAAGAATTTCCACAAATATTTAGACTTGCAATTTCTACCAGCATTTTTCAAGAGTTACTTAAGGAAAGTCACATTTATATTAAAAACTATTGCCTCTGGAGACAGTTTAAATAAAAGTTAATTCCTTCAATCAAGACATTACTGCTGAAAGACTTCTTCTGTCTTCTATAACACTATGCAGTGACCTAAATGCTATGTGGAAGAAATAACCAGGAACTGGGAATAGTAGGAACCACATACAATTAAGAAACAGAAGGAGGACAGAAAATATATGCCAAGTCAAACTAATAATAAAAGACTAAACAAGAACCAGTCTAAACCAAACTGTGCTTGGAAAAAAGTACCTAATATTTGAGTGCAAATTTTAATTCAAAATGAATTGTATAAACAAAACTGGAGTCATGTTTGAAGATCTGAAGTTCAAATTGCCAAAAATTTAAAACAATAAATAATTTACTATAACTCAAAGCATTTGACGTTTAAAAAAATTACTGCATTAGCAAAAAAAGTTACCTGTTAAACATTTCTGTCAAAGAATCATCACTACAAAAGCCACAATTAAACCCAATTTGAAATCAGTCCAACACAATTATATAAAAATGACAAGTGAATTGACTTATTCAAATTGCACTTTGTATATTGCTATTCGAAACTATCCAAATATTAAGTTTGTTGTTGCTATTGATTGCTGTCGAGTCAAGGTCAACTCACAGCGACTCTATGAACAAAAGACCTAATCTAGCCTTCCCATAGCTATCGTTTTTTTCTCCAAGTTCATAGTTTCCAGAGACCTGTGGTTTAGGAAGTGGATGCCACTCCTGCTTCCCAACCTGTTTAACAACTGGGAGCTCCACCAAACACTGTCCACAATGGGAAACCATTATGGTATTTGATATCCCCAAGGTTCAGCATCATAACAAACCCAGGTTACCTCAAACAGCACAAGTGGAAAAATGTTCCTCCAGATATAACAGCACTAGTCTCGTTTAGCAGTGGTTAAGTGTTGTCCAGTCGAAATGACTCTGAGTAAGCTTTGCACAAGACTTTAACTCCGCTCTATAATTAACATCATTTCTGTACATTTATAAGAGTTTGTAGGGTTTGTAGAGCATTTAAATGAAGAACACTGATGTAGAAAAACATTTTAGACATGTTTCGTATTAATCTTCTGACACAAGAGATCTGGCTGAGGCCCACAAAGCCTGGTAATTTACTTATCGCAAATTCAACAAATAAACAAAACACTCCCACATTTGCAATTTGAAGTAAACCATTTCTCACATGATTTAGCATTACTGTTAATTCTGAAGACAAACGCCAATAGCAGAATACACGGTAATTTTCTAAGTATCACTTCACCTTTAAACTTGGTGGCAGTAAAATACGACAAAACAGTACTTACATTTCCACTAAATTTGGTAAAAGAATGGTGCATGTAAAACCTGTGCATATAAACAATCGCAGTGTTTATCGTCAGTTGAGAGCTGGAACATTTCATTTAGGAAATACTTCAGAAAAATACGACCTCGTTTCACAATCAGTTGGAAACACCTGATCTACTGCTCCCCTCCCTAATGCCTCCTGTTCTCTCAACACTACAACAAAAACTTTAAATAATTAGAATTCTGCGGTGGGAAGAGGGCAAGGAGACAGGCTTGCTCTTAAATATAATAATATTTTCCGATTATTTCATCATGTTTTATAGCTAGGAAGAAAGTCCAGGAATTTTTTTCAGCAGGTGTGACTGTCTACACTTAAATAAACGAAACGCGCGGGAGCCCATCCCTACAAAACCATGCCAAGTACATAAAGACCTCCAGGGAGCTCAAGTCCACGGGAACGGCCATCAAGCCGGCAAACAGCCGCGGGGATCAAAGAAGCCTCAACACTTCTAACCCTCCTATTTCTCAGCCGCTTCGGGGACGGAGAAAAATCGAAGCCGCCGCCCCATCTTCTATGGGAGATAATCCCACGAATTCCCCTCAGCCTGGGCGGCACTCACATCCTCCGACACCGCCGCCGCCACGCGCAGCACTAAACCGATTACACAACAGCCGGCCGGCTCGCACTCCCAGCCCCTATCGTCCCAACTCTGCCGCCGGCCCCCGGCGGCCTACCAAGCCCTGGCCTGCCTTCTCTTGTGGAACGGCCAGGGCCAAAGAAGATCAAGGCGATGGCGCCATGTTTGCGGAACACCAGGCCGAGCGACCAGAAGTAAAGGAGACAGGGCGTGAGCGGCGGAGGGCCAAGAACACGAAAGGATACACGTTGAGACACTGTCCCATTTCCTGGATGAGGTTCGCCGCCTGCTGCCGGTTCGAGAGCTCTTTATCGGCTTCCACTCCACAGCGGCGGCTCGGCGTGTTCTCTAGCTGTTCTCGTGTAAAGAACCAGCGAGAAGAAGCTGCACGGCCCGACGCCATGACACTTCCTCCTCCGCCCGCTCCCGCACCCGTCCCCCGCCCCTCCAGTCTCGCGGACTCCCCGCCAAGGCCGCGCGGCCCCGCCCCACTTGGCTCGCCGTAGACCACGCACCACCCCTTTTCACACTGGCCCCGCCCCCTTGCGCGCTGGCACCGCCCAATAGTCAAGCCGGCACCGCCTCTTGCGCATGCGCCAGAATACCTTACAGGCGCAAATATTTTGCTTTCTTTTTCTTACCCCTTGGCCTCTATTTCGCGCAAGGACCACAATGCTTAGCGCCGTTTGTCATTCGGAAGCGCCGAAGGTGGGGTCCCTTTCTGACGGGAAAGGTTGGCGCGGTGCATGCTGGGCCCACGACTGGCCGACGGGGCGGAAGGAGACGAGAAGTTGCTGTGGCCGCGAGGGATGGCGGTCGGTTACATACCTGGACGTGTGGTCGGATTGAAGTCTCGGTCCTGTTCCAGGTCCTGCTTGGGACGAGTGTGGCAGCGCTCTGGAAAGAAATCTCCTCTGCTCACGGCCTCGCGCAACAACCTTCATATTTCCTTTTAGGTTCGTAAACGCAGCTCAATTTCCGCTGCACACAGTCTCCGCCCTGCGGAGGGCTCGGGGAGGGACCCAAACTTGGAAAACCCGTTTAGGAAATAACCTCTTTACGGCACGGTCCTTTGAACCAAGCCGAGCAAACTGAAGCTGTGAACAGTCTCAATTTCTTCGCTATCCATCCTGATGCTACCGATTGGTCCAGTGGTGAGAATCTTTGTCTTCTTGACATTGAGACACTCTTGGCACCAGCAGCCAGGAAATAAAAAAACGTACTGCGATGGGAAAGTCTGCGGTTAGGGACCTCTCTAAAGTACTCAAGAGCAACGGTGTCTCTCTGGAGACTAAGGTGCACCTGATACAGGCCATGGTCTTGGCAATCACTTGTTATGCATCAGAGAGTTGGACAATGACTAGGGAGGATAGAAGGAGAATTGCCGCCTTTGAGCTGTGGTGCTGGAGAATAGTATTGAATGTTCCATGGACTGCCAAGAAAACAAACAGATTCATCGTAGAGAGGGTTAAACCAGGCTACTTCTTGGAGGCTACTTCTGGGGCTTCGTCTGACATACTTTGGACATGTTGTAAGGAGAGACAGGTCCTTGGAGAGGGACATCATGCTTGGTAGGGTAGAGGGACAGCGCAGGAGGGGAAGACCCTCTATGAGGTGGATTGATTCAGTGACGGGAGTAAGCGGGATGGGTGTGTCAGAGGCAATGCGATTGGCACAGGGTAGAGCAGGGTTTAGGGCTGTTGTACATAGGGTCGCTATGAGTCGCAAAAGACTCGACGGCACATAACAACAACGGCACGGTCCTTAGCAAATGGCCCTGCAAACCCAGAGGTCGCGCCTGTTTACGGGAGAATGATTGGAAGTCTCCTTCCGCACGGTGTACAGGAGACCAAATGTAGGGTGGCCTATGAGTCAAACTTGTACCGCTGCATTTGCCCCCCTCCCCCCATGTTATTTTAATCCCCCGGCCCAAGTGTTTCCAGTTAGTACCAGAGGAACCAAGACTGTAAACGCAGCCTCCATTCCAAAGTGAGGATGGGCTGAAGCACAGGAGCACTTGTGAGCAGGCACAGTTTAGGGCCACTAATGACTGGGAAGGTCAAGGATTGTAGTGTTCAACATGGTTGAAGCTCAACATCAAGAAGATAAAGATTCTCACCACCGGGCTAATTTGTAGCACCATGTTGATGGAGAAGAGATTGAGGTTGTTAAAATATTACAGATTGCTTGGTTCCATAAGCAGCACTCTGGGCACCAGCAGTCAGGAATTCAAGACAAATTGCTCTGGGAAAGTCTGTCAGGGACCTCTAAAGAATACAGAGAATCAACTGTCAGTCTGGAGACTGAGGTGCGTCTTACTCAGGCCATGGCCTTAAAAATTACTTGCTATGCATCAGAGAGCTGGACTATGACTTAGGGTGACAGAAAAGGAATCGATGGCTTTGAGTTGTACTGGAGAAGAGTTTTGGAAAACCCAAGAAAACAAACAGGTCTGTCTTGGAGAGGCAAGAATTTTTAAGCTCCATCTCGCATACTTTGGGCACGTGGCCAGGAGAGACTAGGGACATCATGCTTGGAAAGGTGGAGGGACAGTGGGAGAGGAAGAGCCCAGATGAGATGGATTGATACAGTGACTGGGATAATGAGAGTGGGTGTGTCAGAGTCAGACTTGCTCAGGACAGGGCAAGCTTCAGAGCTGTTGTACCTAGGTCACTGTCTCCATGGCACATAACAACAACAAGACTAGAACATGGTGACCTAGAGATAAGCTGTGATTCAATCCCTCAGGCATGGAATTCAACCCATTAGCTGCTGATGAGAGAAGGATGGCTGATTTCCCATGGGATTTACTGCCTTTGAAAACCCCACTGGAACGGCTGCTGCGGGTCTGTTCTGACTAAAGGCACTCATCATCAGTAGCCACTAGAGAGCACGTAACCAGATCGTTGGTGCCAGTGAATGCAGATGCATGGATAGATGCAGACAATTTAAGAGGAAGTAAGAATTTTGTCTTATGCTTTTGACAAAATGACACCCCACATAAAATGAGTTAACTCCTTCACCTTTCTCTATAGGAAAATAATACCTCAGAGCATGACCGTGGGAGTCCTGGCACTTATTGCATATGAATAATTGTGGTGGTTGTGTTATGTTCTATTGAGTTGGAATCAACTCATAGATGACCCTCCAGTGTGTTTTCAGAGGTGAATAACAGAGGAGGATTGCCCATCTTTGTCCTATGGAGAAGATGATGTATTTGAATCCTGCATTTTGATTGGCAGTGCAACTCCCCTACCACGAGGGCACCGGAGCACCTTGTGAATAATTTTCATTTGTAATAGTATTTAAGTTTAAAATTTTAAATACCATAAAACAGACTAAAGACAGACATTCTTGTAAAAGGCTCCGCCACCAACTCTCAACACACAAATGAGGAACACGTCTAGCTTGATAAATAACATCTATAAAAAGTTTTATGTATGCATCAGAAAGGTAGACAATGACTAGGGATTATAGAGAATTGATGACTTGGAGCTGTGGTGCTGGAGAAGAGTTAAATATACCATGGACTTCCAGGAGAATGAACAGATACATTTTGGAGAAGGTGAAACCAGGTTGCTCCTATGAGGCAAGGCTTCTGAGGCTTCTGACATACTTTGGGCATGTTGCAAGGAGAGACCAGTCCTTGGCGAGGGACAACCAGCTTGAAAGGGTGGAGGGACAGCGCATAAAAGGAAGACCCTTGAGATGGATTGATTCAGTGACTCGGGTAATGAGAGTAGGTGTGTTAGAGACAATAAGATTGGCACAGGATAGAGCAGCTTTCAGGGCTATTAGTCATAGGGTTGCTATGAGTCACAAGGGACTCAATGGCACATAACGACATCATCATGGTTATTGGTAATACTGGATTTAACCTAAGATCCAGAACAACGCAAGGATGTCCTTGCACCACTCATTTCTATAGTCGTCTACCAGTGTTAGCCAATAGCATAAGAAAAACTAAATATAGATTATTTTTGTTATGTGCTACTCAAAGTGACCCTATGTACAACAGCCCTATACCCTGCTCTAACCTGTGCCAATCTTATTGTCTCTGACACACCCACACCCATTATCCTAGTCACTAAATCGAGGGTCTTCCTCTCTTGTGTTGTCTCACCACCCTCCCAAGCTGACATCCCTCTCCAAGGACTGGTGCCTCCTTGTAACATGTCCAAAGTATGTCAGATGAAGCTTCAGAATCCTTGCCTCCAAGAAGCAGCCTGGTCTCACCCTCTTTAGGACAAACCTGTTTGTTCTTCTAGCCATCTGTGGTATATTAAATACTCCAGCACCATAGCTCAAAGGCATCAATTCTGTCATCCCTAACCGTTGTCCAGCTTTCTGATGCATAGCAAGTAATTGCAAAGCCATGGCCTGTCTCAAGCACACCTTAGTCTCTAGACTGACGTTATAGCTCTTCAGAGGAACAGTCTCTGACAGCAGATTTTCCCAGTGCAATTCGTCTTTTAATTTCCTGGCTGCTGGTACCAAGAATTGATTGTGGAGCCAAGTGAACCAAAGCTATTAACAGTCTCAATCTCTTCATCGTTTATCATGATGCTGCCAATCAGTCGAGTTCTGAGAATCATTGTTTCTTGATGTTGAAGTTCAATTGATATTGAAGACTGCAGTCCTTGGCCACCTCCATCTAGTGCTTCAGATCTTCCTCAGTTTTAGCAGCAGGGTTGTGTCATCTGCAAAACGCAGATGGTTGATGAGTCTTCCTTCAATCCTCATGCCACACTTCTCAGAGCCCAGCCTCCCAGATAATCTGTTTTACATACTGATCGAAAAGAGGTGTAGATAGGACACATCCTTGATGCACAGCCTTCCCAATTTTGAACCATACAGTGTTTCCTTGCTCTGTTGTGACAACTGCCTCCTGGTCCAAGTATAGGTTTCACATAAGCACAATCGACTGTTCTGGGATTCCCATTCTTCTCAGAGTCAGCCACAGTTTGTTGTGATCCCTACAGTCAAATGCCTTTGCATAGTTAATGAAACACAGACATTCCTCTGGTACTCTCTCCTTTCTGCCAATATTAACTATGATATCCCTAGTACCTCTTCTAAACCCAGTAGTTTTTGGATCATTTTCAGCAGAATCTTTTTTGCCTATGATGCTATTAACAGCTCATCAACAGAGAACTGCCAGAAGTGCAGGCTTGAAAATGAAAACTATTGACAGGTGAAGGTGCAATAATTATCTAGACAGGAAATCTCAACACCAAAACTTAAAAAACAAAACAATGAAGAAAGAAAAAAAAATCACTAAGTGATTAAAGCATGTGAAATACTACAATATTCAAAAGCCAATTTCTTGTATACCAGTAAGAAAACAATTTCTCACCTTTATCTGCCATAGTATATCATGTGATTACCTGATTAAAAATGTTCCATGCCAGTCCACCTCAG